GGTTTGGTTATAATGAATCAGTATTTAGTAGACTATTTTACTATATAGGTCTCGTTAGTGGTGGACATTTGGACCACACTCCATACATTTTTGGTCATTGTCCTTAGTATTTGAAAAAAAAAAACAACATGATATTTTGTGCGTTTTTCCAGGTTCAGTTTGGCAGTTGGCGTTGAGATTTTTGTTTTAAATTTGACTTTTTTTTTTCAATTGTAAGAGGAAAATGTTACCTAATAAACTACTAATCTTCATGTAAACCATTTAAACTTACTCATGGTCTTCTTGTATGTAACAAAGCCTAAATACAGTTTTTCCTGTTAAAACTGAACCCCATAACTACTAGCTAAAAAAATAGATACGACATAAACTTTGGAATTTATAAGACTAACATTATAAATGAAACTACTAATTTATAAAATTTTGAATTTATTAATGATGCCCGTTTATACACGATTCGGTAGCAAAACCGCAAAATATGTTTTTGCTAATAAATATTATTATTACCACATAATCTCGTTTTTATCATGTGAAGGCAGAACATCAATGCTTAAATTTGTGGATACTATAAATTGTACCTTATATCCTTTGTCTACTTTGTTACTATTAAATTCACTCGCCTATTTGTCGTGGCTTTCGAGTTTTTTTAACACCCACAAACCACAAGCAACTTGTCAAACTTTTATTTTATATTTTAAGAATTACCGATTGATTTTTTCATTTTCGAACGGCATAATTTCCATTTTTGAACAAGATAATATGACATACCTAACGAATGCGGGTTGCATCGGTCGGGGTCGACAACCCGAGCTCTATGTAAATAAACTAGAAGCGGAACTAGATCGTTGAAAAATAGTTCGAAAGAGACGAGATGTTTCTGCAGGAGTCCTAATAGCGAGACCAAATATAAGTTCTAATGGGAGAATACTGCGAATGTATGGTTTATTGGAGATAGGTCATGATTTGAGTGTCACTGACGCCACCAGCGCAAATTGGACACACTCAAAAGACAATAGGCACAAACAATGCCTTTTTTTATAATGGAATAAAACAATTAACTGATTTACGTTACACCTTAACTAAGCTGATAGCTTTCCGCGTGAGCTCCCGCGGCCATTTGCATTACAGTTTTTGTAATAATTAATGGCGCACGCAAAAGAAATCTGAAAGTAAGTGCTCATCAATTATTTGTCGCTATCCGTAATTTAATCAGTGGTCCAACGAACTAAAAACTGTCTTACTAAAAACGTTGTTTTATGAGTTGTGTCACTTTGTCGTAAAACTTTCGAAGTTTTATTTTTCATCTAAATTTACATTTAATTTTTTCATCTGTATACAATTAAAAAAAAAAAGATTCGTCATCAACTCTTAAGGCAACAAGAACAATACACACTAACTACGTTGGTGAGCGAAGCAAGTGCATAAAAACTGAGAAACAGGAAAATTGCGAGGAAGTGTCGATGAAAACGCTGTCTGTGACGCTTTAATTGATCTCTGCTTCTCGAGTTCTGTTCATTGGAGCCGATTCCGAGATTCTTTCTCTGTTTTTTTATTCAAAAAACTGTAAAATTGATAGGGCACACATTACCAAGATTAAATAAATAAATAAATTACCGTTAATCCTTCCAATTAAACTAAACTGTATTGCTTGTGTTAGGAGTGGGTCCACCACAACACAATATTCAGTGGACGACAGGGATAAAACTAGCGTTCCATGAAAGTCGACAATATTTCCCTGTAAAATTAAAAAGCCACTTAAGAGTATAAAATTCAAAACCTATGGAAATAATTGTAATCTGTTATCGAAAAGTATAAAATCTTAGCAGATATCAAAATTATGTTTGATCAATTCAGCAACCGGGGTTGATCCCATCTTTTGAATATTCGTCTAAACTTCAGAAGACACAGTAAATAAACTCAGAATCGGGCTCCTTTATGCAGCTTCGGTCATTGGCGCATTGGATACAGCCACCTCAGTATCTAGGACAATGCATCGGCAAAAAATCTACTTCTGCAACAGAAACAGCAGAATGAGCGTCGTGAAAAATAAAAGTTTAATCTGATTTTGAGAAACATTGATATCAGATGCATTATCAAATCAATTTGACATCATAAAGATATAATATGTAGCTGGCATTTCGCTAATACACAGTAGTATTACGATGTAATAAAATGTTTATTATATTGTTTGTATTAAATAAACATGATAAGTGTAAAATCTAATGCGCGTGAAATCCACTAACAACGCAAAGATTAAGTCCACTCAGGCGCATACATAATTTATTTTGCCGATTGCATATCAGTTGTAGTGTCATGTCAAACTGACAAGTGCTTAGTATGGTAAAATGCTAAGTACCCGCTGATTGATATTTCGTGAATATGCTTTTATTTCTCTTTATTATATTTTTATACTAAGCAAGCATCAACTCAAAAAAGCTTATTTTCACGCGTTTATCAATTAATATTCGATTAGGTATATTCTATTCATTTAGTTAGGTCATCGAGCGTCTATTATTGTTTCTGCTCAATAAAAAAAGGTAAATAATCGTAATAATCTTTGGTATATGATCATTAAGTAATTAATTACAAAACGTGTCCACAGAACAGTCATGATTGCGCGTTGTACGAGTTATCCTTTAGTTTATCCTTTGTCCGCGTGCTGCGAGCGCCATAGTAAACACACACTCATTACCGGTCGTAAACTTTGATGTATGTATGACGCTTTGTGTATGATTCGACTCAAATAAACAAAATTACGAATTTACTCACTAATAAAATATTTCGTATTTATTCGTTGACAGTCTATTACCACAATAATTATCAATATTAGTTAATTAATGATGTCATCGATGATATCATTAATTAAGACGTGATAATGCGCTATATTACACAAAGATAAAAAATAAAATGAAATAAATACTTATAATCGCTGGAAGACTCCGTGGTGGTTAAAATATCAGTTGCTGTCTGAAATTATTAACAAATCAATTAAATGTCACAAGTTAATAAAATAAGCTCGCGTTTTGGATAATAACTGTATAAGCCTGTAATCTGCGCAGGAGTCCGTTAATTAGTAATATCGTGATTGTAAACCATCAACCCACTCGCAACTCTGTGTTTCAAGCAAATTACTTCCTCCATAATCTATGTATTATGTTAAATATCTACCATCATGTAGATAACCATTGATTGATTGATGTATTGATTTGTAAAAAATATGTTAGCATTCTGTGTTACAAAGGTAAAATAGATTACGATGCACTGACAAAAATCAACTTTTAATAATATGTATCAGTTTTCACAATCGATTATGCTTTAAGTAACTTATCACTTTTGGATTAAAATTTATAAGAGATCGTCGAGAGTCCTTCTGTAACATATTTTCTTACATAATATAGTAATGCAGTACCTAGCCTATTAAAAAATCGAGACTTAAAATATTGATTGATTAGGTATGTAAAATTCTTGATTCATTTTTTGAAAAGTAGTAGTTGTACCACTTTTGCCAAGTAGGGTTCAAGAATGTCTAAACTTCCGACATTTAATACGTTTTAAATTGATACTGTACTCGCATGCAAATTAATTGTTTTATAATCACTTAATGCGTCTTTAAACAAATAAATATGTAATGCTGTGATTTACATAGAAATATACCGAGTACATACCGACCGAGTGATACGTTCATAGTAATTCCTTATTATACAGCAGTATTCAAACTCATTCCAAGAATGCAATCATCTCTTTAACTACACGATCTAGACTGCATTGCTGTAGCCAAGTAGATTTTATTTATTGGCTGCAGCATTCATATTTATAGCCTGACCAGGAACATAAAAACCCTGGCATAGAGGCGCGTCAATTGCATTTGATAGTGCAACACTGAGTACAGTCGTACCTGTGTTAAATTAATAGGCTAACTTTATGTATCAGGATTCAGGATTACGGGCTAATTTGATATTTTCATAAATTAACGAAAAGATATTATTAAAGGTAACCTGATTTAAATAAATTAAATGAAACCATCAATCGAGCTAGTAGAATTTATTTTATTATTCATCAATAATCAAATTCAGAACTTGAATATTCAACTGCAATGTCTGCTCATGAACGCTTCAAACTCGGTACTTCTTTCTCAATCCCATAAAATTCAACATTAGAAAGTGAAAATTTTTTTTAAAATAGGTAGTTGAAACAAACCACAGCTAATTTTCATAGTGGACTGTACTATACGATAAACATGTCAGTCAATTTGACAACCTTTGTCGGAAACATTATTCAATGAAAATATTGTCCAAACCCTTAGTATTTCTCTTCGACAAATACTTTAACACATTGTGAACCACTTTTCTTTCACGACTATAAAAATATTTTAGCAATTTAATTCATAAAACCAATTGCGCACATTTAAAATAAACTTTGTTTACACTTTGACAGCAATAGACTGACATGCAAGGTGACATGTCAATGAAGTTTTCAGTTACTGTTGCCATTAAAAGAAATTAGTACCATTAGTTTTCCGCAACATGGCGAGGGTTTTTATGTTCCTGGTCAGGCTATAATTTGTAATAACATAGTGAACTACCAAATGGCGATGCCAGATTTTGTATGGAAGGTGGCGTCTTTTTTTTTTCGCGCGGCCGTCGACTAAACCTTGTTGCAATTTCTTACAAAACTTGCAAAAAGCAAATCTAGTATGTAAATCATCAAACTTCTAATGCTCGTAACTCAGTTTAGACTGAGTTTAAAGGTATACATGTCATAGTAAGTTTGGTTTATTACACTATTTTGTAACCAAAAAACATGGTTTGGTCGATGGCCGCGCGAAAAAAAAAAGACGCCAATTTCCGGCATTGTCTTTTAACTTTGCAATAAAAAAAATATTATCACATCACTACAGTGACACATCAAGTGCCGATATTAGCAATTATTTATTACCGATAGTGCTATAAAAGTTCAAGTAATATCTGAAAATTATTTTATTCATATGACGGATTTGTTAACAGGTTTCGCTACGAGTGCGAAGGGCGGTCAGCGGGTTCGATTCCCGGCGTGAACAGCACGCAAGAGAACAAGACGTTCCCCACGATCAAGGTCTGCGGCTACAAGGGCTGCATGGTCATCGTGGTGTCATGTGTCACCAAGGAGGAGCCCTACAAGTGAGTACCGTGCCCTAGCCTACTTAATCATCATCATCATCCATCATAGAATCTTCGTCGCAGAACTGGTAATTAATGAATTGTTGTCACCATATTTTGATCTTTATTGAGTTAATATGAGGTTCAATATATTTACAATATATTTTTCTTTAATGGTGAAAGGGTTATTGGTTTGAAAAGGTCATGATATCATTATTATTTGGCTCATTGACCGTGAGATTGAAGATAGACTGAAGCGACAGTACTGCCATCACTGTCAACCAACTTAAAGCTTTTGCATTTTTATAAACAAAACGGAGCAGCTCTTACCTGTATCTCACCTGATGGAAAGTGATGATCAATGATCTTAAAAGTGAAACATAGTCCCCTCATCAGCTCTTACGGTAGCCAGAGAATAGTTCTCACTGTGTATTCACCATTCTCCCAGGCCGCACCCCCACAACCTGGTGGGGTGAAGCTAGAGAATAGTCCTTACATCAGGTCTCACTTGGGATTTTCTTTCAACTCATTCCTTCTAAGCTATACTCGACGCAAATCTCGTGGCAGGCGGGGCCATAAGTAATTTTTGAAACAGAGATACACACTCGCCTACTTATATTTCATTAATTATTGCGTACTAGTTGACCCGGCGAACTCTGTTCCGCCTTAAAGGCAATAAATAAGCAAATCTTTCCTTATTTGCTCACCGTTTAGACCTACCCTGGACTACGACAAACATTTTAACACCAAAATCAGCTCAATCGGCCCAGCCGTTCTCGAGTTTTAATCACACTAACGAACATCAATTCATTTTTATTTATATAGATAGATAGATAGAGAGATTATAAACAACGCTATGCCTGCCTGCCTGTGTGACATCACCCATAACCAATGTGAGTGCGAGTGAAAATGTGATATGCACTGTTTTATTCTTACACCGCCTGCCACGAGTCTGCGCCGAGTATAGTAATGTAGACTTCGGACGCAGGTTGGCCGTAGTAAGGACAATCTGGTCAGGTGGTTGATTAAATAAAACTCAGGAGGATTTGATGAGTGCTACTGACAACGCCACTCTTGTGGCGGAGTTTTGGGCTGACACTGTGTAGGTTTGTTGTCGACACGAAAAGAAGAAGATAGTAATTACTTCTCCCATCTGTTCTGACTTGTTATTCTCCGTTCCCCAGGCCGCACCCCCACAACCTGGTGGGGCGCGACTGCCAAATGGGCGTGTGCACGGTGAAGGTGCGCACCGAGGGCGACGCCGACGCCTGCCAGGTGCAGTTCAAGAACCTCGGCATCCAGTGCGTCAAGCGCCGCGACATCGCCGACGCGCTGCGCACGCGCCAGGAACTGCGCGTCAACCCCTTCAAGAGTGAGTTTTTTTTATGTGACAGGAGGCAAACGAGCAGACGGATCACCTGATGGTAAGTGATTACCGTAGCCCATAGACACCTGCAGACCCAGGGGCGTTACAGGTGCGTGCCGCTTGTCCCATGATCAACAGCAGCAGGTCGTCTAGTCTCGCGCCAGGTGCAGTTCAAGACCCTCGGCATCCAGTGCTTCAAGCGCCGCGACAACCCCTTCAAGAGTGAGTGCCGCTTGTCCCGTCATCATCAGCAGCAGGTCGTCTAGTCTCGCGCCAGGTGCAGTTCAAGAACCTCTGCATCCAGTGCGTCAAGCGCCGCGACAACCCCTTCAAGAGTGAGTGCCGCTTGTCCCGTCATCATCAGCAGCAGGTCGTCTAGTCTCGCGCCAGGTGCAGTTCAAGAACCTCTGCATCCAGTGCGTCAAGCGCCGCGACAACCCCTTCAGATGAGCTAAACTCGATCGGGTTGTACAATCGCCCAACGCATGCATGGTACATAAATACATACCTATACACAACGCGTGGACGCTTGTAAAAGTTTTAAAAACTGTTTCCAATTTCCCACTTCTCGTTCGCGGTGCTACTGCTGGTAGCGTAGGATCTGGTATTCAAAAAGCGTTACGAATAGATGATTCTGTGATTCGAACTCTATGATGTCACTCACTTGAGTTTCGAACATATAAGAAAGTGAGTTAAAAATATACATACGATAGCGTCGATAGCTTTAATTGTGAATAACGTCAATACTATTATATACCACAACGGCTCAAGCGCATCGATGTAATAATATCAACATCCCGTTTTGATAATACATTGATTAATTCCTTGTGGTTATACTCGTTATCAATTGATGTAGTTTTTGTAACTTCACTTCGAAGGTTTAATTCATTTATCAATTACCGTGATTTTTCTCATTCCGAAAATTCCTGAAATTATAATTATAATGAGGTCAACAATGTCTCATAATATAATTATAGATAATAGTAGTTGTTTTTCTAACGATAGTATTGCAAATGATAGTCGAGGTGAAAGGGTTATCATAAAAATACGTTGAATTGATTAAATAAAATTTTATTATTCACTTAGGCAGGAAATATCATCAAAATATTTATATTTAACTTTACATATCACAATATCTAATTTGTATCACTGAATATTTTTATTTTTTTTTAATTAAAGAAAAGTTACTGTAACAACTTAGATTTTTTAATAATATTTCTTTGGGTTGTAAGTCATTACAAAGTATGAAGATGTCAGTACTGGTAACATTAAGCAAAAGTCAATTCAATAATAGTAAACGATTTACGTGGAGTATAATTACCGGCCATTAATGCCGTACGATTGTCCGCCGATTACAACGCTAATTTGTTGTTGGACATCAAGGAAACACATGCAACGCGACCCGCGCTAACGCCGAAAACTACCAAACTATAAATAATAATAAATAACAAAAGATGTCTCAAAATGTTTTAATAAAAACAAGTGCCCGAGAAAAGGTATAAAAAATAGATTTTAACAATTTTTATACCATTAAGATACTACTATTATAGATATCTATAGACTAAAACTGGCTAGATAATTTAATTCTCTAATTAGATAGTTTTCTAAAAGCAAATCGATATATTTTTTGTTTGAAAAATTCAAAAAGTAAAATCTTACATCCAATCACTTTTCGTACTTTAAATCGTATTTATAAGATTTATTAACATCTACTGTAGACAATGACTAGTCGCCATCAGTCATAATCGCTATCAATTCAAAGGCGATTGAAGTTGCGACAAGGCAACCGTTTATTTAGCTTTCCACTATTACTACAGGCGTGTGTATTAGCGAATGAATCGAACAATCGCTGGCGGCGGTGTCGTAACAATGCGCTATTTTTGGCGCGCTATTCCAGGCGTGCGCGCACGCGGCCCGCGATCGATGCGATTCCATGGCGTTTACGATTTTACGAATACAATTTTATTACTAACTGGGCGATTTGGATACACATTGTAAAATACATAATATACTATGTAAAATAATACCAAGTAAAAAGTATGGCTATTCTATAGAAGTATAATTTTATACTTCCTATGGCTGAATAGATGATGATTGATGATGATGATAATTTTATATAGCAATGTCCAACAAAGCCAATAATGATCCTGTGTAGTCATTGCTATACTTGTGTATTTCACTTTTAACCGACTTAAAAAAAAGAGGAGGGTCTCAATTCGACAGTAGAAGCAGGTTATGTGTTGGGAAAACGCTGGAGTGTTTCCAATGCTGCTTAGTGGGCGACCCTTTGGGTACTAAAAAATTAGCCCCTATCTTTATTTGAGGGCCGACAATACTAGTCATGCAAATATCACCACACTACCTCTACGCTTATAAATGTATAATTTTTGTGGTTTTGTGTATGTTAAAATATGACATCACATAGTGTCTACATTGCAATCTTACGAAGCCAGAGTAGGTCGCTTGTCCACACTTATATTTTGTTTGTATTGAATAGGTTCCAAAACTACACTCGCGAGCAAAAGTATGGAATCACCCTATTTGTTTTGAGTAATCTTTGTAGCTAAACGACTATGAAGATTAAATTAAAAATGGTATCAGTTTAAAGGTTACATTACAAACTTTAACTTGATACCATAGATGCATAGATAGTCATTGAGTTCTTCAGATCGTTGGGAACAAAACACAAAAGGGTGATTCCATACTTTTGCTCGTAGGAATATTACACCGATTTGAGAAATACTCTCATCACTAGAATTCTACATTATTTCTAACTAACATAGAAGTTCGCCGGGTCAATTGGGATGATGACTGGGTAATGAAATCGAAATTCTATTTAGTCCGTCAGACAGATAAGAAAAAAAAATTGGATACGTATTTTTTTTCATAATCGAATACCTAATTACAGTTTTATATTGAGGTGAAATGTCGCGTGACGTAACGCGCCATTTCAGCTCGATGTAGCACTGTTATTATTTAATTATGAAAGAAAATAAAAAATACGAGTCTAATATTTTCTAATTATCTGTCTGACGGATAAATAATTGAAATTTTGTCATCTAGCCTATTAGTGTTGTAATATATGTGAGTAAAACTGAATCTTTTTGTTTCCAGCGGGCTACGCGCACCGAAGCCAGCCGCAGAGCATCGACCTGAACGCGGTGCGGCTGTGCTTCCAGGTGTTCCTCACCGACGACGCCTACAAGGTGCAGCGTGCGCTGCCGCCCGTCGTCTCTGACGTCATCTACGACAAGAAGGCCATGTCTGACCTGCTTATAGTGCGCTCCAGCCATTGCTCTGGAAGCGTCAAGGGCGGGACCACCGTCATCCTGCTGTGCGAGAAGGTACACACTGTAACTTGATCCTTATTCAGTCATATCCACTCATCTTAAGGTCGAAGAGCAGTCATCTACGACAAGGCCAGACAGAGGCAGCCAGCAGGAGTGTCAAGGGTGGCACGACGATCATTCTGCTGTGTGAGAAGGTATACACTGCTGCAGTAACTTGAACCTTAGGTCGAAGAGAAGTCATCTACGACAAGAAGGCCATGTCCGACCTGCTCATCGTGCGCTCCAGCCATTGCTCTGGAAGCGTCAAGGGCGGGACCACCGTCATTCTGCTGTGCGAGAAGGTACACACTGTAACTTGATCCTTATTCCACGCACCATAAGGTCGAAGAGCGTTCCAGGTGTTCCTCACCGACGACGCATACAAGGTGCAGCGCGCGCTGCCGCCCATAGTCTCTGACGTCATCTACGACAAGAAGGCCATGTCCGACCTGCTTATAGTACGCTCCAGCCATTGCTCTGGAAGCGTCAAGGGTGGGACCACCGTCATCCTGCTGTGCGAGAAGGTACACACTGTAACTGGATCCTTATTTAGCCATAACCACTTACGAAAGGTCAAAAGGCAGTCATTTACGACAAGAAGGCCATGTCTGACTCTCATCGCAAGCTCCAGCCATTGTTCTAGAAGCGTCAAGGACCAACTACATCCTGCTGTGCGAGAAAGTATGTAGCTTGAACCTTGCTCTCCTAGGTTAACTCCTCTTAAGGTTGATCAGCAGTCATCTACGACAAGAAGGCCATGTCCAACCTGCTTATAGTACGCTCCAGTCATTGCTCTGGAAGCGTCAAGGGCGGGACCACCGTCATTCTGCTGTGCGAGAAGGTACGTAGCTTGAACCTTGCCTACTCCTCATAAGGTTGACCAGCAGTCATCTACGACAAGAAGGCCATGTCCAACCTGCTCATTGTGCGCTCCAGTCATTGCTCTGGAAGCGTCAAGGGCGGGACCACTGTCATTTTGCTGTGTGAGAAGGTACGTAGCTTGAACCTTGCTCCCCTAGGTTAACTCCTCATAAAGTTGATCAGCAGTCATCTACGACAAGAAGGCCATGTCCGACCTGCTCATCGTGCGCTCCAGCCATTGCTCTGGAAGCGTCAAGGGCGGGACCACCGTCATTCTGCTGTGCGAGAAGGTACACACTGTAACTTGATCCTTATTCCACGCACCATAAGGTCGAAGAGCGTTCCAGGTGTTCCTCACCGACGACGCATACAAAGTGCAGCGCGCGCTGCCGCCCGTCGTCTCTGACGTCATCTACGACAAGAAGGCCATGTCCGACCTGCTTATGGTACGCTCCAGCCATTGTTCTGGAAGCGTCAAGGGTGGCACGACGGTTATTCTGCTGTGTGAGAAGGTACGTTGCTTGATCCTTGCCTACTCCTCATAAGGTTGACCAGCAGTCATCTACGACAAGAAGATCAAGTCTGACCTGCTCATAGTACGGACCACCATTATCCTGCTGTGCGAGAAGGTACACACTGTAACTTGATCCTTATTCCACGCCCCATAAGGTCGAAGAGCGTTCCAGGTGTTCCTCACCGACGACGCCTACAAGTTGCAGCGGGCGCTGCCGCCCGTCGTCTCTGACGTCATCTGCGACAAGAATGCCATGTCTGACCTGCTTATAGTGCGCTCCAGCCACTGCTCTGGAAGCGTCAAGGGCGGGACCACCGTCATTCTGCTGTGCGAGAAGGTACGTAGCTTGAATCTTGCCTACTCCTCATAAGGTTGATCAGCAGTCATCTACGACAAGAAGGCCATGTCCGACCTGCTCATAGTACGCTCCAGCCATTGCTCTGGAAGTGTCAAGGGTGGGACGACGGTTATTCTGCTGTGCGAGAAGGTAAAGCATTACATTAATATCGTCCAGTATGTCTTTGTTATCCTTTTTTGAGACTAAGTCCAGTCATCAATGAATCATTTATTGTGCAATGCCTACAATATTCTGCTTGTTTACCACATAAACAAATGTTGGGATGAAAGTACGAGTAAAGGCGCGCGCGCACGTGTGTCTTGTCACGGTGACAGTATGTCTCTCTGCATATGATTTATAAGAATTAGGGCCGATTTATCAATCGTCGGATAACTTTTAACTGGTAACCTGGTTTAAATAAATTAAATGAAACTATCAATCGAGCAAGTAGGATTTTATTATTATTCATCAATAATCAAATTCTGAACTTGAATATTCAACTACAATGTCTGCTCATGAACGCTTCAAGCTCGGTACTTCTTTCCCAATTCCATAAAATTCAATACTTACAAAGTGACAAAAAACTTTAAAATAGGTAGTTGAAACAAACCACAGCTAATTTTCATAGTTGACTGTACTATACGATAAACATGTCAGTCAATTTGACAACCTTTGTCGGAAACATTATTCAATGAAAATATTGTCCGAACCCTTAGTATTTCTCTTCGACAAATACTTTAACACATTGTGAACCACTTTTCTTTCACGACTATAAAACGATTTTAGCAATTTCATTCACAAAATCAATTGCGCACATTTAAAATAAAGTTTGTTTACACTTTGACAGCAATAGACTGACATGCAAGGTGACATGTCAATGAAGTTTTCAGTTACTGTTGCCATTAAAAGAAATTAGTACCATTAGTTTTCCGCAACATGGCGAGGGTTTTTATGTTCCTGGTCAGGCTATACTACGTTTTCTCTATTTCTCTTTATAAAAGTGTAAAAGAGAAAAATATGCTGTCACCTTACCTTCTGCTACGCCCTTTACGTCGGCGGCTGTTCCCCAAAGACGTCAGGCGAACACTCTTCGCTCCCTCTTTTATAGTCTGGTCGCTGAGCACGTAGAATTTCGTCCAATGAATCCAAGTCGCGACTGTGCGACGGGCGGCAACAGTGAGTGTGCGAGCGCAAAAGCAATATAATTACGCTCACTTTACAATATATCATCCCTCTTCGCCTTAGATCCTGTTTTCACCAGACATGTGGTTTGCAGGTGACGCGTGAGGACACAGAAGTGTGGTTCTTCTTAGAAGAGAACGGCGCAGTGGTGTGGTCAGAGCGTGGACATATCGACTACGTGCACAAGCAGCTCGCTATAGTACTCAAGACGCCGCCTTACCGCGACCAACGTCTGGACCACCACGTTACTGTAAGTACAGCACACGTCATCATTTCAGCCACAGGACGGTCGCTGCTGAACATAGGCCTCCTCCAATGATTTCTACAAAGCCCGGTTGGTAGCGACCTGTATCTAGCGCCTTTCTGCTACCTTTACGAAGTCGTCGGTCTACCTTGTGGGTGGCTTCACTCCAGAACCTCGCTGCTTCATCGCACAGTACAAAGTCCACTGCTGGATAAAGGCGTCCCCACGGATTTCCATAACGATTGGTCTTACGCTGCTCGCACATAGGCGCTTCCCGCGACCTTACCCATTTAGTTGATCTACTGGATTCTGCCTCGGTTTCTGTTCCGTGGTCGCCCCTTAAGAACCTGCCCCAACATCCATCAGCTCTACCGAGCTATTCCTCGCCTACTATCACATAAATTTAACAATTCTGCCGTCTATGTCGGTTCTCCTAAAATGCTTGTATGTATATGATATTAATGCCCGTTTTCACCATCAATCCCTAATTTTCAAGTGACCCCTATGAAAACGAAATTCGTCTTATGTGTTACCATAGGGGTCAAATCAAATCAAATCATTTATTTTGCGAAAATGGGTTTACATCAGCCACTTAAAAATTGATGGTGAAAACGGGCATAAGAGACGCATCATATGAACTCCTCGTCCCATTTCAGGTCCAGTTCCAGCTGCAGCGGCTGTCGGACGGCGCCAAGAGCAACGCCTACAGCTTCGAGTACATCCCCAACGTGCAAGGTACCCGCAAGCCGCTGCCCGACCTCGCCTCCCTCGCGCTACTGCTCGCAGACACTAACCCCGCCCCAAATCCCGCCCCTAACCCCGCCCCCAACCCTACAGACACAAACAACAACAACCGCGACAAAGACGCGCTCGTCAGCTCCACCAGCGACTCTTATTCTGACCATACCACGCCCCTCGACACAAACGGCGACGCCTCAGAAGCGCTCCTCCCCGATTCCAACGAAAAGAGCCTCGACGATCTCCTCGATCAAGTCGCGGAGCTCGATGAGATTTACACCGAGAATCGCACGCGGTTAGAAAACATCACCTCGATGCAGACAGACGACGACATGGAGGATTTCAACGACGCCGGAACCTACACCAGTCTCCAACTCGCCTTCAAAAACCCAATAACAATAACTGAGCCGGAGTCGCTTCCATACGAGGATGTCCAAGTCCACAGCTACCGCGGCCCGATTATAGAGTTTGCGCCGCTGAAACGCGACACCGATGATGACGATAAAGCCCCTCCGTTGCCACCGAAACGCGTCCGCAAACCCTCGACGGAACCCTTCAAAACGAGCCAGACCTCAGTCGATAGCATCCTCAAGCCGGGACGCCAGATCCCAGTTACCAGGAACCCTGAAGTCCTGCGGCGTGATCGCACTGAGTTGTCTGAAGCACGCAGCGAGCCGGCTTTGCCTCCGGTCAAGAAGCGGTCGTTCTTCTCGCGTCTATTTAGGCGAAAAGAGAAATCTCCCGCTCCGAGCGTCAAATCGGAAGGCAGAAAGGAGAAGAAGTCCAAACCGGTCGGCCGCTCTGTTAGCAGCGTTTCTGGGCTGCGGCCTTCGAAGTTCAAATCCTCAGTATCGCATACGTCTCTGAAAGACAACGCGTCGGGCGCCGGTCTAAGCTACGCGGACAGTATCACACATATCTCCCTACACGGTGACGGTGAAGATGACCGCTCGCAGGCGTCTCTTCGTCGTCCTGCCAGCCTGGCGCCTCTACCGCCGACAGATGGCGGCACCATCTTGGTAGCGGAAAGCGTCCTCGCATTAGACGCGTCAGCCTTCAAAAAGCTCCAAGACGATCTCGATTTAACCGACGCGGAACACTACGCCCTGTATATGGCTGTAGCGCCGCACGCGACGGTATCGGAGTTTGACGAGACCAGTTGCTACTACTCGCCGGTAGATGGCAGCAAATTTCAGAATCAAAATTAATTAAAAAATAAAAAATGGTTCTAAAAAGGCCTATTCTAAAGAAGGCAGCTATTAAAGATAATTCTATTTTAAATATTGAGGCAGCTAAATTCTTATAATGTAGTGTAGGAACTTAATAAAAAAGCTTCTATGAGGCAGCTATAAATGCTGATAAAATCGGCTAATGAAAAAATTATCCTTACTAGTCTTTCTAGTCTTAAAGTAAATAATAATAAATTTCAAACACTGCACCGCTATCGAAAATAGGCTCAAATACGTACAAAAACTGCTTATTTGATATTTGTTTAACCATTACTTCGCTGTGACGCTCGGCACAAAACAGAAACTTGACACACACTACACACACATACATTTGAGTAAGCCAAAATGTACTTAGGCATACTCTGTACATACAATTCCTTTCCCTTCCCGTCCCCAATGCCAAATTTTTCGATACCTTTTACACTATAATTGCGAAAGATTCCAAATATTGTCTTCAGTCTTGTTTTTCTTTTCAACGGTATAAACTGATGATCACAAAGAAAGAGTGAATAAGTGCCCAAATGTTTCAAGGGTGTATTTATTCATTGGATAATCACTACAACTGTAGTCAATATTACATAGTTTGCAATCGCATTACTTGAAAGGTTGTATTTGGTATTATTAACATCAATTTGTATCGTTGAATGGAATCGAGACTTGTTTTTGAACTCTGTACTTAATTTTAATGTTTGTGTCGTTATATCTAACGTGTGATTGATATGTTCTAGATAAAGAGATAATACTAGGCCATAAGCGACGGAAGAAACTGTCGTACAATTTACAGGAATACGATGAGAGTAAGTGTATTTTTATGCATTTTTGTATTGTGATCGTCCATTGAGAATTTTGTTTGTGTCATTATGGTGCTGGGACTTGAATGTTTATTGAAATATCACAAATATAAATCATACGTGTGATTATTTTTGTGAGCGACGAAATGGTTTTGAACATTATGGCTTTAGAATAAAGTTCAAAATTCGTTTTATAGAGGAATAATGGATTGAAGTGCTAACGATTGTACTTTATTACAAATTCTCAATGGAGGATCATTGAAATATATGTACCATCGGAGGAGCATGGGTTAATTCATGTGGGTCTTCATAAAATTGTGTATGTATAATCTAACAAACATATTATATGAAATCATGCTATATCTATCTATAAGGTATACTGTTATATCGCCTAACATTTATAAGTATCATTTTTATAATAGAAACAAGATATTTATTGAGTAGGGTAGCAAATACGATCGTCAATAGGTGGTGGCTCTAACATTAGCAAAATAAAATAACATGAAATGTGGTGTTGTTAGAATTAGACTGTATACTCTAATCTATTTCAATATATTCGACGTCATCCGTCCCTTTCACTCACTTATACGAGTGAACGAGACAACTAGAAGCGATAATATATTGAAATCGTTTTGAAAATAGACTCGATTGTGACGTTATGTTAAATATAATAATAGACTTTAATATTGGGAAATAGTGTCTTTAAATTAGAAAAAAAAATATAACGTTACCATTTTGGATCTAGTAATTATTATAATATCTTTTTATTTATTCTTTATTTATTAGGATTTGAATAAACTTTTTATTAAATAAACAAATATTGCAACATGTTGCTTCATAAAACGTTTCTAGTATACTTTGTTGGTCGTAATTTATTTTCGTTGTTGATGTTTTGAGTATTTATCGTTAGTTTTAGTGTAGTCAGCTTGACGAGACTTGAATCCTATCCAACAAAATGCCATAGCATTTATTAGTTAGTTTCAAGTTTATTAAAACCGGGCAAGCTCTAACTCCTTGGATACACTAGGGGTTTACAAGGGAAAACATTTTTTTCCACTACTACTTGAAATAGGGAAACTCTTGCCGAGTTTACTTTAGTATTTATGGTGTTAATTCGGTAAAATAGGCGCACTAATTGTACCATGACCCAACAATATGGGATTTATGTGTGTTCGTCTAGTAAATGTCCTGCAAAACTAAAATGTTATGATTGAACAAATAAATTAATTTTATCTTTCCTTCAAAATGGTGCGAAACATTTGACTTATTTTATAGTTGTGCGTGATGTTATGGGTCACTTTTGTCCCCTAGTGTGTCCGAGGATTAATCTATAAAATATAGGATTTCCGCTGACTATGCTACAATACTTTATTACTTTTCGGAAATAATGCAATTGTTTGAATTCTGAATTCTGAGTCTTATTTATTATGAATCTCTTGGAGATTATAATTATTGCTATTTATTATGGCAAAATTATTATTGTTTTGCTCAGAGTGTCACTATGGCAGGCATAGAGCACACGTCTGCAGCGTACAACGCTACAAGTACAAAAGTCCTTCTTTTGCGTTTAGAGTAAGTGCTAATGTGGATATGTGTGGTTAACAAACAAAAGGTAACAATAAAAAGCTTATTAAAACTTAGGATAGGTCTTTTTGTTGTTTGTCAAATGTATTCATTTGTAATTGATTCTAAATAAAATTACCCTTTTAGTTACCAAAAACTTAGGTATTGTTTAAACTTATTATAAAGTTATTTCGTTATTTTTCATCTTGTTATTATAAAAATATACTTTGTTAATTAAAAAGTATTATATTATTATAATCATTGCATTTTGTTACATAAATTTGATTTTGTTCTGATGTTTTCTTCATTTTCGTTTGTCTATGTCAATTGTATTTTTTCTATAGATAAAATTAATATACAGACTGTAAAAAAGTATTTAAATTAGGCGCAATCCTGATATATTGTTAAATTAGTAAGGTGCGGACATATCCTTCATTAAATTTATGAAATATTTATTGAAGTTTTAGATGAATTTACTTCACAATCAACATGTATTGAGTTATTTCTATCGAATTATTTAACGGCAGACGGATCCCAAAATTGATCAACAATCGTGCTAAAGTTTGAAGTTGTCTGGTTTTGCGATTCGGCTGTTGGATGATTTTTTTACATTTTTTATACAGAAATATATTTTGATTCTATGTAGTGAAGCTTGAGTGACGCGAAATTCTATATTAATATGCTAATTAAAATGTATTTTTATTTATTGAAATCCCAGAAATTCCCTCAAAATGCGAGCCGAAGGTACGGACCCCACTTTATGGCATGGTTGTGTTTCCCTTTGTTTTTACTTGTTGTATTTTTAGTTCCAATTGTAATTTTTAGTTTCTTTTAATTTTTTTCACACATATTCATGTTAGCGTTGAAACTGTTACCACTGAACCTGCATGTTTTATTTTTTATTATAATTTCTTCTAAGATATAATTTTGTATTTGTAAATAGTTTGTACTGTACAGATGTGTTTTTATAATTGCATGTTGCGCTTTATAGGTTTATAATCATTAGTTTATAATGGCTTTGGGATCATCTCGCACATTTTTGTTTTTAATTAACTTTTTGTTATTGTATGTATACTAGTTACATTTATCGGGTCACATTCCGAAATACTCATGAGTAACATTTGATCTTTCCACTGAAGAATAGATCCATGAAGTCTTTGATTGTTTCAAATATTGAAATCCAAACAATCACTTGCTCGAATGTTAGGCGACAGTAGACTAACGGTGTTGGTGTCGGATTGCTAATTCAAGATCTGAGAAACCTTGTTTCTATCCCCGCCGACCGCTGGACTGTTGTGGTAAACCTACTCCTAACTCAAACATATGTTTACCATCCAGCGAAGGTTAACATTATGCTTGTGTTAGGAGTAGGTTCCCCCTATCCAGTGACGGGTTAACGGGAATATTAGTAATTTGCACTACAAATTACTAAACATACTCGAGTTTAAAGTAATTCTTCCGAGAGTCGTTATAAAGTATGAAGCTTCATGTTTTACGGAATGTGGCCCAATATACACATGGTTAGCGTCTTGCAGTTGTTACAATTGATGGTGTTCCGCAGGGTCCATGGAGATGGCGATCAAGGCCGAACCGCACGACCGCACGCCGCCGCATCCCATGGCCGCTGCCTACGCTGACCAGGTAATGACTTACACTGCCTTATCTTATATCCTTGTACTAGCTTTCCGCCCGCGGCTTCGCCCGCGTGGAATTTTTTCTGTCACAGAAAAACTTTATCGCGCGCGTCCCTGTTTCAAAAACCGGGATAAAAACTATCCTATGTTCTTTCCCGGGAATCAAACTATCTCTATGCCAAATTTCATCAAAATCGGTTGCGAGGTTTAAGCGGGAAAGCGTAACAGACAGACAGACAGAGTTACTTTCGCATTTATAATATTAGTTGGGATAGATCGCTCAGCAACAGTTGAGGCGAGCAACACAAGCAAAGACTTGTGTCTATATGTTACGGTCAAAGTGATAAATGTGAAAATTATGAATAATCGCCGGTTATTATGAATAATTACCGCATGATTTGGTAAATGTGATTAATATGAGGTCATTTATGTGTGTATAAAACTAAATAGGCGGCTTAGAGGTGGCCCAAGGGCCACCCCCGCCGCACCTTAACCTGTTTTTCACTTTAAATCAAAACATTATGTTATAGGCATCATTGAAAAGTAATATTATGCAAGAAACATTCCAAACTCATTATGCCAAATTATATTAATATATGATATCAAAACGTTCAAAAGTTTGGCTGTACATGAGCACGTACACAAGATTTTGTTCTCTTTTATGAAATTTGTTAGTACTAAGGTTCAATTATCAAATAATCACTGTTAAATGTGATTAATTTATCACTTTTACCGCGACTGTCGGTAATTATTCATAATAACCGGTTATTATTAATAATTTTCAATTTATCACATTAACCGTAACATAAAGATCGCACAGCAAGAGTTGAGGCAATCAACACAAGCAAAGATTTGTATTTGTATACGCTTTTCGCGCTGACTGAGACTGTATTCAAATATTACATTACATCAGTGTGAGTATGTATAAGTATGAAGAGCACTTTCCCTAGGTGTCATTACAATAATCCAACCTGTATATGAGTTCATTCGTGCATTTCAGTGACGTAATGGCCATTGCTGAACAAAGGCCTCACCAAAGAATTTCCACAACGACCGGTCCTTTGCTATAAAAGTATATGGATCAAAAATGTTTAGTCATAATAGAATTACATCATAATAAGTATAAAATTTATTCTAAATTCATAGAATCTTTTCTATGAATTTAGAATAAATTTTATACTTATTATATTATGATGAAGCCAGAATGTTATAAAGGTGTCGAATACTAAATGTCGAAGAACATACCATTAAAATTCGACCATTTCCTTCAGCCACAATGGCGCGCGGAGATGGTGGGCGGCGCCCAACTAGGCCACGCCTACGCGCCGCAAGTAAGCTGGCAGAGCCCGCCCTACGCGCCGCCCTCGCCGCATCTGCAGCCTTCGCCCATGCATCAGCAACCCTCGCCCATGCATCAGCAGCCCTCGCCGATGCATCAGCAACCATCGCCGATGCATCAGCAACCCTCGCCGATGCATCAGCAACCCTCGCCCATGCATCAACAACCCTCGCCGATGCATCAACAACCCTCGCCTATGCATCAGCAACCCTCACCCATGCATGTACAGCAGGTAATGTATATCAAATTCAATTCTAATTAATTTATTTTCACAGAAACATAGTACAATACAGATGTCAGATAAAAACATAATCCTCATTAGTTATTATCGCGTCACTTCTTGTTCGACTAAGCACATTGCATTCCGAAATGTTTTCTGTTTTGAGAAATAAATGTCTCAAACCGTAAAACTTAAGCCCCCTTAGACAGTCACAGAGGTGACAGTTGTGATTGCAATAGCGTTTCACTTTGAAATTTTTTGTATGAAGTTACTTCGCTATTCGAAATTAAAACTGTCACAAATGTAATGGCACTTTGAGCCTAGACTCTAGTTTATCTATCAAATAGTCTACTAAAGGTCTATTCCACTTTGATCACCTGGCTTTGATCACCCAGATGTTCAAAGTGGACTCCAAGCGACAGTTTAGTGTCCGTTGATCTACTTTGACTACCGTTGATCTTTAGTGATGGGTAATGGGTGTAATTTATTTATAGGTCAAAGGAAACTAAAATAATAATTAAACTGGAGTTCACTTTGATCACCCAGGTCATCTTATCAATGGGTGATCAAAAGACGCTAAATTGTCGCTTGGAGTCCACTTTGATCACCTGGGTGATCTCTACTAGGGATGTTACGGATATGTAGTTTCTGTTATGGATATAGGAATAATATTATGCCGGTTTCGGTTTTTTTATTTCGGATATCCGAAAGTTTCGGTTACGGTTACGGATCTCCATAACATCCCTGATCTCTACTATCAGAGTAAATACAAATGAGTAGGTCATCTTCATAGAAACGCCCGAGCGCGGTTTGTATGTGAGCGCGCCACGGAGGTGCGCTGAATTTTGTCAGTGTGAGCGCGCGCATACGTATTGAATTGGCGCGCGCTCACATACAAACCGCACTCGGTGCGTTTCTATGAAGATGACCTACTCATTTGTATTTAGCTTATGTATTATTTTGTTTTTGTGTATTTTTTTTTGTATTGTATCTTTTAATGTGTCAATAAACCTATTCTATTTACTCTGCTACTATCGAGCGTTTGAATGAGTTGTGTCCCGTCCGCAGGTGGTGTCGCCGGGGCTGCACCCGACGTCGCCCTACGCTGTGCACTTGCTCGGCGCACAGCAGATGCAGCATCAGGTACATAGCATTTATTATTCGCCGGCCGTTTGGTGTAGTGGTTCAAAACGGACTACTATTCCGGAGGTAGCGGGTTCGATTCCCGCACAGTACAAACATTTGTGTGCATGAACATATTTGTTTGTATTGGACTGGGTGTTTTCTATCTACACTAATATTATAAAGAGGAAAACTTTGTTTGTTTGTTTGGTTGTAATGAATAGGCTCAAAAACTACTGGACCGTTTTTAAAAATTCTTTCACCATTCGAAAGCTACATTATCCACGAGTAACATAGGCTAAATTTTATTTTGGAAAAAAATAGGGTTCCGTAAAATATGTAGATAATGTAATCGCCGCGCGCGAAGCCGCGGGCGGAAAGCTAGTGTATAATAAGTATGTATTTACAAAAAAAAAGTATTTAAGTATGTTTATATCCGTTGTATAGTACCCATAGTACTTTGCTTAGTTTTGCTTAGTTTGGGACTAGAAGCGCAGTGTTAAATGTCCAAGATTTTTTTTTTATTTATTTATTTATATTATTTATATTATGGTCACACAATTTTTGTTCAGTACCTACGGCTAGCACGAAAAACTTTCGAGTTTGAATCGTTTGCGTATTGGAATCACCATCAAAAGATTTATTACGAAAACCACAACAGCGCCCTTGTGAACGTGGAGTAAATTGAACTTAGCATGAGAAATGGTTGCACGAAACTTATTTTGAGAATCAAAATTGTCACGTTATCGTTTAATTCGAAGGTTGAGTATCGAATTTTATCGAATACGCAAACGATTCGAAGACGAAAGTTGTTCATGCTAGAGGTACTGAGGTCTGAGTGTGACTTTACATCAAACGTCCCCCTTTTAACTATGGTTCCACTCCAACTTTCCCCCGGGACAAACTTGACCTTCACTGGTTGCGTTTTTATTGGCGGTCAAAAAAAAAAAACAAAAAAAAAGCCATTTTTTTTACTAGTGACGTTTGATGTAAATTAACTCACATTACGCCCCCCTGAATAGACATTACGCCCCCCTGAATAGCTGTTGGTCTGTTTTCAAAACAGTGGAGCTTGTTTACTAGTGTATTACTAGATTTACGAGGGTGGTGTATAATAATAGGATCATCGTAGCAAAACACTATTTAGTTTATATTGCTTTAATTGAAAATAGAATAACAATAAAACATATTAAAAATGAATGATCAAATTCGATGTTGATACAAAAGTGACTTGCGGTGGTGATGGGACACGCGAGATGAGACTTGATACTACATCGCACAGTGTTTTTTTTTGTTAATAGCTTCCACTTGCACTATGCGTAGAGGTCTAAACTTAAACCCGCTACATCTGAAAAGAACAAAAGTGATTAATGTGTGACATGCTTAGTCTAAAATCCAGGTTGAGGTCTATAGGCCTAGGATGCGCGCCGCCATAAGCTTTTATCGCGCCGTTTTATCGATAAGCCCATACATTTGTCACCTAAAATCATCATAAGATTTTATTACGGTGGGCATCCTAGCCCGGCTGGTCGTTCTTTTATGCTGGATTTCTATATTCAATCCTAATCCAAATTATACGGATTTGGATTGTCAACTGTCAAATTTTAATATGTTTTGGCCAAAATAACTGCGGTTTTTGATGTTTTTACATTTTTATATTGTTTATAAGACTATTTAAACAATATTAAAGTGTAAATGCATCGAAAATTTTGGAAATATAATCTAAAACTGAATTCAATTTGACAGTTGTAATCCGGATTTGGACAAGGATTGAATATGGGAATCGGGCGTTAGAGTGCCAGGGTATAAAGGTTCGGTCAAATCAGGCTGATCGCGTTCGTTTGGCCGAACCTTAACAATGGTGTGTCATTCCAGCAGCAGATGCATATGCAATCGCTGCAGGTGGGCGCGGCGTCGCCCATGGGCGCCTCGCCCGCTGCTTCTCCCGCGCTCATGCAGCCAGGAGCCATGAGCATGCCGATGGGGCTGCAGCCTACTATGGACCCCGTCATGGCTGACTTGGGCGCGCCCACATACACGCAGGTCAGTATAAGAAGCTACTTTCCAGCATGGCGTTGACCAGGCTCGGAAGCGAAAGGTCCGGGCCCACGACCGTACTAAGGTCAGCGCTGCTCCTCCCAGCACAGGTGTGACGAAAATCGTTTCAAATGCCTGGTAGAATGTGTACGTGTTGACGAATAAAATGTTCGTGGAAATAGTCGAAACGATTGGGTCTAAAGATGTTCGAAACCCGTAGTTCAAAAGAAACCAAAAAGATCTCTGACATCACCAATATGATTATGGAAAAAAGACGAAGGCTCTGCACTCTACAGCCAATATCAGTTTCCGACACGAAATTTTGATCAGCCGGCGGCAACGTCCGTGTCTAAAGCAGCAGTCAGTGAATAGTCTCGTGTAGGGGGCCAGCAGTCGCTACAGGTAAGAGCGGCGTCGCCCATGGGCGCCTCGCCTGCTGCTTCTCCCGCGCTCATGCAACCAGGAGCCATGAGCATGCCGATGGGGCTGCAGCCTACCATGGACCCCGTCATGGCCGACTTGGGCGCGCCCACATACACGCAAGTCAGTATTACGCAACCTCGTACATTTCAGGTGGAAACGCAGACTGAGACGTGCGCGCCGATTAAAAAAAAATCCAGCAGCAGCGTGCCATTAAAATTTTGAAGGCATCGCCACTCTGCGCGGCGTCCATCCAGTGCCAAAACCTTATATTTTTGAACTCGAGCTGCACAATCGTTTCAAATGCCTAAAAGACTGGGAAACTATTGATGAATACAATAACAAATTCGTGGAAATTGTCCAAACGACTGGATCTAAAGACCAGGGGCAGTAGACGCAACAGATAGGCACCCGCCGCCTCTCCCGCGCTCATGCAACCAGGAGCTATGAGCATGCCGATGGGGCTGCAGCCTACCATGGACCCCGTCATGGCCGACCTAGGCGCGCCCACATACACGCAGGTCAGTCTGGAGGGACAGTTGTTAGTGATGGTCTATTAATTTGAGGGTCGCTAGTTCTATCTCCACCGACCGTTGTCGAATAGTTTTGTAGAAACAGCATATCGACAATAGTCCAGGGGTCGCGCCGGTTTCTGCCCATAACGGCAGCACGGCAAATCAGATTTTTAAGCACTATCTCCTAAACGCAGATACTTGGAACAAAATGTAAGGTAGTTAAACTAGGGGCGTTCCATTTTCAGGGGGTGGCATCTGCCCTAGGCCTTAGCCCCATCCTCTTAGCATTTTGTGACATCTTAAGCAGTTGTATGCAATAGGTGAAATTTTTCAACAACGTAAATAATACAAATAAATGTTTTTCCACAGATGGACAGCACGGTGAACAGCACGCCGTCGCTGACGTCGCTGCTGCAGCAGGCCGGTGACGATGACGTCAGCTACACCTCCGGCGACCTCGCGCACCTGTCCAGCCTGCTGGCCGACCGCCACGACCTGTCCGACTCCCTCACGCGTCTGTCCACGCGCGACCTGCTGCAGCCCTAGCGTGAGTACACAGCACCTGCTGCAGCCCTAGCGTGAGTACACAGCACCTGCTGCAGCCCTAGCGTGAGTACACAGCACCTGCTGCAGCCCTAGCGTGAGTACACAGCACCTGCTGCAGCCCTAGCGTGAGTACACAGCACCTGCTGCAGCCCTAGCGTGAGTACACAGCACCCGCTGCAGCCCTAGCGTGAGTACACAGCACCTGCTGCAGCCCTAGCGTGAGTACACAGCACCTGCTGCAGCCCTAGCGTGAGTACACAGCACCTGCTGCAGCCCTAGCGTGAGTACACAGCACCCGCCGCGACCTGACGTGAGCTACACCTCCGACGACCTCGCGCACCTGTCCAATCTAGGGTTTATAGTTCTGATGTGTCACGATTCGTATCATCTTCAAATTAGTAGCCCCACATTCTGGGGGAACGCGGAGGCATTTGGGACCCCCCCAAAGACCGGGGGCCCGGGGTGGGCCTCCCCTTCCGCCCCCCTGTTAGTCCGCCACTGCCTGCCCGCCTCCCTCACGTAGAAATATATTCAAAACTGCCACGCGGTCTCGTGCTAGATGGGAGTCTTAAAGGCCACCTTCTATCAACGGGAGCGCGTGGTAAGTAACTTGCTTCTGAATGTATTGTAACTTCCTACTTTTTTTTATATTTTGAAACCGGCAGACAGTGGTGACTGAGTTTGTTGCGGCGCTTCTTCTCAGCACTTGCCAAATGTTTGTCTCGAAGCGCTGGTAGGGCAAAAAAAGAATGAGACGTGTATAGGCTCCTTAAGAGCATTTGACGATTTGCAAATACTAATTTAATTAGTCTAAACAAATAAAGATAATTTTGATTTTGATTTCACGCGCCTGGCCACTACCTACACTAGAAAATAAATAAGTTATGGGACTTCTAAGTTGCACCTAAATTATTTCAATTCTAGGAACAATGTATATCACGTAATTTGACTTAGATGCGGCAAACGTTCGCTAACTAAGCTATGTTTATAAAAACAATATTTTTTCTTCCCACCAGGCCGTTCAGCCGATCCAGATTATCTGTTGTGAAGAGTCATCTCGTTCCTTCCCAAATGCGGTAAATACCACATCGGAGGCAAACTATTCCAGCTTCGAAGAAAGGAGACTAGAGATGTTTATTTGATAATGTTCATCGATATCGATGTTGGGATTAGTTAGGCGAGTTTATCACTTACTGCATTTAAGACTAAAACCAGAAAACTAAAAAAAAAGAGACATTTCGCTAATTGTTCGTTCGGATTCTAAAACCAACATTTAATGTAATATTTTATTTCACTTGTATAATAAAATCATTAAGATAAAATTGTATTGGTTAATTTAATCCGAGTGTGTTTATTTCGAATTAAATTATTTGTAGTCTAAATGTGTAAGTATGCCGTTTGATATTGTAAATAAGTGATCTCCAAAGAAGCGAATTCGACGTACCGTTATCGTTTCGTTGGCGTGTAACGCTAACGTTACTGATTTGTGGAATACTGGTTATTACTACTAGAGTGGGACTCTGATAGTTATCTTTAAAATGGCAATTTCAAAGCCTTTTATTAATACTTTTTTAATACTAAAGCTTGATATTGCAATGTAAAATATACCTGAATGAAAATAATTCATTCTGATATCATAATGAAATGAAAAAATACTTTTTATACATTTCCATATTTTTGAAATGGAAGATTATTGTATTCAATATCTTTATAATTTTTTGATTGCGATATCAAGATTTTGTTCTGCTTGAAAAGCAGCTTGCTTCTCTTTATTGTGTTTGTACGAATTTATTTAATGCGTAGTTGTTAAAAAGAGGTAGCACTTTAGTGGGTAGAGGTATAAACCCAAGGCGTAACTTATTTGACACGTCGACTTAAAAAAAGTCTATCCATTGGAAATAGTTAAACAAAAACAAGTTCTATGGAATAAAAAATAATTGTGGTTACCAAATTACACAATTTATTAAATAAATGTTTGAATTAAATACTTCATCATCATCTTTTGTATTTTGACCATCTCCAAAATCAAAATCAAAATCAAAAATATTTATTCAGTTTAGACCACAAGTGGCACTTATGAACGTCAATAGAAAATAATAAAAAAAGAAAAAGGTAGCCCTTATGGGGCACTTTACAAACTTTAACTTTACTTTAAAGGATAGACTTGACAAACCAGATAATGTACCGGAAAACAGGGAAAATGGCATGGAAACCTATCACAATATTATTGTGTCTTTAATCTATCATAGTATTTGAACAACTTTACTATGTCAAAGTAGTTTTTGTTGAATGTCATGCCATTCACATGTCATGAGATATTTCCCGGTCTTTGTCACTGTAATGTTCCGTGAACATGGTTGGCACAGATTTATGTTTAGAGACATGTATATATTTGCTTGTTACATTAAAATAGTATGATAATAATGGGATATCTAGCGAATTAAACTGGTGGAATAAATATTGAAAATGCTAGATTTCTATAATGCTGATATTTTACGGTTGACGTAAAATTAGATTAAGTTGTAAAGTTTATATAACATATTGGTTACCAAGAACACAAAGCCCTCGTAATTTTGTGTGCTATATTTATGTTTCTCTTCCATAGCTGCATCTTTAAACATACTAACAACTAAAATCACGAAAACAAGATATTTCAGTATCAAACTATATTTGGGAATATGTATAAAAATGTATTTGCTCAATATAGCCTATCTAGAGACGTGTTCGTTTAGACCATATTTCTACTTATACTAACATAACAGTAACTACAGTTAAGACACTAGAAATATCTCATAAGATTACCTGAACTAAGTTATGCATGTACGTAAATAAACCACATATTCCCTTCCAAATCTAAAGATGACCAAATATGAATTTCCCAGTCTGATTTGATTTGACGTGTGTCCAGTACCGTTTCTAATTGCTTTAGAAACGACTACTTGGAGTATTTCTCGGGGGGCATTACTTGTTCATTAAGAAGTGCAAGTACCCCCGAATCTTTAGTAGACCTTCGAACATAGCGCCTAAAGGTGGAAAGTTTTGTTACACCTATAGGGGTCGAAAATAATAAAGATTTTGAATTTATGAAATCGCGTGCTTATCAGACATTTTCGAAGCAAACTCACACTAAAGGCGTGCGCGCTAGGGTGACTTTTGTCACCGTGACAGCACGTCTCCATAAATATTAATAAGTACTACGGTGTGTCTATTTTTCTCTTTGTAAAAGTGTAAAAGAGAAAGATATAGGGTAAACTTCCAGTAATTGGACAAAACACTCCATGAACCCTTTTTTATCTCTATCAGTCTTTGTTGTTGTAATAGAAATGCTGTTTTTAATTCAGTAAAAAGATCTGTCCAATAACTCAGAGATATGCCCTTAGGTGTCCAATGACTGGAAGTTCACCCTACTGTCACGGTGACAAAAAATCACCCGTTCGCGCAAAGCCTAAGACAAAAACAAGTTCGTTCTACATTTTACAAAGACAATGAAATGGGTATCTATCTATAGGCGAAAATATTTATTATGCATTTAATGTTTATTTAGACATTCTAAGATGTTAACATATAAAACCAAGGTAAAAAATATATATTTTAAGGAAATGATGTGTGAAAGCTATTTTGGTATAAAATATACTTGCATACTTATATCATCAGTACGAAAACTACAACAGCGCCCTTGTGAACGTGTCGTAAAGTGAACTTAGTATGAGAAGTTGCACGAAACTTATTTCGAGAATCAAAATTGTCACGTTATCGTTTAATTTGTCGAATACGCAAACGATTCGGAGACGAAAGTTGTTCATGCTAGAGGTACTGAACTGTAAACTATCAAATCAAATTTGAAAGTGCTAAATTAGGAAATTAAGTGTTGGTGCTACAGTATTTTGAATAAATTCCGTTAGACTATCATCAAATTGTTTTTGAAATTAAAAGATAGGACGTACAATAATTTTATAGTATTTAAAAGTTATTTTTTGGGTATATATTTTAACGTGTTAATCTTTGTCTGCAAGTACAATCGGCGCAAAACACCGACTGACGATCTGATTATTTTACGATTTACTTAGTATTTTGAACGTAATGTTATGTTGTACCAAGATAAAGTTTCTGGTTTTTAATTAGACCTCGAATGTGATATTACAGTGTCGAGCTGGCTAAGTCTTTATTAGCTTTGCTCGATTTTCTGGTGATTTCGCCAGGATATCATCCTGTCACAAACTATCCTTGGTTAATCCTTACAACTTTACCTATACATAAACTTTTTTGTCAGGTGGATTACCTGGTGCGTTCGAGGTCAATTATTACTAATGAATGCATTACCTAGAGAAGCGGTCCTCAAGAAATTGCCGTATAGTGTATTATGATAGAGATTTTGTGCATAATAAATTAAGGTAATTTAGATTTTATTTTTTTAATGATCTTTTGGTACCAAATACTACAATTTTCTTTAGTTTTCAAATGATTCAATGAAACCCATTGCATATATGTACTTGTTCGCTCATGAACATAATGATCACGAAAACGGAAAACAATCTAATTACACAGAAAAATACGTAAATGTTATATTTTAAGAGTATGTTTACGAATGTTAATGGTGCAATAACGCATGAAATGTATGTCGGTTATCAAATGTGTTGTCAGTTTTTTATTCTATGAAAAAATAAACAAAATGCTATTTTAAAATGCTGTTTTTTTAATTCATAACCAAAATGTATTCTTGAATTTATTCCTAAAGTTCTTCATAAGTCGTATGGATTCATCGGACAATTAAGTTGTTCATCAAGTCGATGAGCAAAAAAATCAGTGAGTAACCGTCTAGGTATCGTATATTTCGGCATCAGGATCATTTAATACTCGCCACAGAAGCCTCTATATTACGAATGAAAATATAATAAAAATCGTAGAAGTTGGGGTAGAAGAACCCAAAATGTCAACCAAAAAAAACAATTCTATAATTCCATAATACAAATACAATACAAATTGCTAATAATCCTTTTACAAAAAAAAAATATTAGACTTCTAGATAAATTTAGAATATAGTCCATGAATTATTATGACCCACCGCGATTTGTCGATGTTATGTTCGACATCACTAGTTTTATCAGTCAGCAAATTTTTAATCTGTGGTGTGTCAGATTGCGTCAACCAAGAATAGTGATGGGCGATATAATTTTCTTTATACGATTTTCGAAAACAATTTTAAAGTAATCGAATATCGCATGTTAATAGTGAAGATAAAAATCTCATTCTAGAGTCCTGAGAACTTGTGAGAATAAAACTTTGTTCTTATTATCGAACCTAAAAGCTTTAAAAATCACTATTTAAAGTCAGTCGACCGACAGTAAAACGATTTTACACCACCGATTTCTGTTTAATTTCCCTGGCATTAAGCTGGTAAGTCAAATAAATACGGCATGCTTCTAATTTAAAATCGGATGTTAAACCAATAACAAAACGTTATAATCGATTGGTATTAGTTCCGACTACTTTAGAGCCACGGTATTTTAATTGTCATTCGAATTCCAACGAACGAATGGTTTGATACTACAAACATTAACAATCGATCGCTAATTCGCACAATTGAATGAAACAGCAAATTTATTTTAATGAATATGTTGCATAAAAATTTGTCTTTCACACACAAAATAAACTCCAATTTTGATTGATATTCGAAGACAATCGAATACACCGGAACCGCTAGTTCATTCGTATAAATGAATGTGATTACCATACAAAATCAGTCTTTTTCGCACGCAAAATAACGTCCACTTTTGATTGATATTTCAAGGAACAATCACATGAAACATCTACAATCAAATAATATCATTCTCAATCGCCCATTCTTAGCATTACCACATCACTATGGAGGCGTTTGGCAGAAAATAGAATTTGTTAAAAATTGCAAGCAAAATGGCGATCGCCGAAAACCTTACCATGTTTACAGCGAAGACACGTTTCTATGATGTTTTACCATACATTTTTCTAGCAGTGAAAGCACGTTATGCCGCTAAACGAAAATTATTAGTGCTAACAATTCTATTTTTGGCCAAACGCCTCCAATGGCAAGTAACCTCGGCAACGTCACTTTTTGTAAACAAACAAAACTTGATCGGAAATACGAAATATCTTTTGGTAGTGACTGTGACGCAAAGCAACACGTACCGCTTTATTAATCTAAGCACGTACCTACCTACCACTGAATAAATCTTACTGAAAATGAATGATTCCTTTAATTCTAATGTACCAGAACCCAAAAAAGTTGGTGTCTGGGCCGAGGGCACCCACATAGAAGCAAAGTACGTAACAATTATGAAGAAAAGTTGTTCTATTTGAGTAATTAAACCCTTTTGTGTAAAGCGAGGTTTAGACTAGGAATAAAACTTGCAGAAGTTGACTTCCGCTAGCTGTCACCAGTGTAAATCTAGCTATTTACAGTAAATAAATAAATAAACACAGTTTGCGGAAGTAAACTTCTGCAAGTTTTATTACCAGTCTACCTCGCTTAAAAGTGATTGTGAAACCAGTTTGTTGATATTACAGAGAGTACATAATTCCAAAAAAATCACCTGACTCCAGCGATGATATCCCCACAATACCAGATTTAGACGATTTACAGGACATTCTAGAAAAGGAAATATCAATGCCGCCTGCGTAAGTAATTTAAAATTAATTTCATCATAATTTTCAACTGGAAAGGTTACCAGTATTTTTGGTAATAATAACTGCAATACAAAGTGTTTTATTTTCATCAAAGAATGTTTTGGTTGACATATTAACAGTGGACACCAAATTATGAGCCTATAATTTAATATCTTTTTTTTTTAATTGAAATGGCTGTGTTCCACAATTTTTTTGTGTTTAAGGTACATCAAAGAAAACTAAATTTTTTGGAGGTACCTTTATAAGTCTAAAAATAAGTTTATGAGCTAATCTTATTTTTCCGAGGCACACCATCTAATGCTCACCTTGCACCAGTGTGCCACTATACACTGTTTGCGGAACACTGCCCTATACTATCACAATGTCATCAATTTCCAGGACTGACCGCAAAGACACCGACACAGTGAACACTTTAGCAGAAGTGGGCGGAGGCCTGAGTGCATCTGTAGACAGTGTGGATTCAGCATTAGAGATACTAAAATCTTACATACCTCAAGTGGATATGGATTCTGCAGACTCAGTGTGGACTGTGGATTCACTGCTCACTCAACTAGCTGAGGAAATTCAACCTGTAGTTTTGTAATTAACCACTCTTGAACACTTAGGATAAACATTATGATTTGTAAAACAATTCACAGCTTGCAACATTAATTAAGTGCAATTTAGATTTATTTATTCAATTTATAGAATTATGAAATGAAGACACAGACAATGTTAGAAATGGAGGTAGAAGTGAAAATTCATGGTGGCCATTTTTTTTTCTACTGGTGTCCAAAGAGTGTGTAGGTAATCAATCAATATGTCCTGCCATTATAATTTATTTAAAAAAATGCACCTCAAATTTTTGGATTAATTAAGGATTATTAAATTAAATAAATAAAATTAATTTAAAATTAACATAGAACTTCTAAGATTTTTTAAAAGAAAAATGAAGTTTGTTTCTAATTCTTTATTTTGTAAAAAATCTTTTTAATAATTAATTGTCTTATTAATTATCCAGAAATAGCATTGTTATTCGTCTGTTGACAATAATAAATTCAGTTCCGTCCAATTTACAAGAACTAGAATAAATTACAAACTAAGGGAATGATCTCTTTACTTATTTTATGATTTATAAACTAAGGCATAATAAATAATGATAATTAGTAATTAGTGTTTTATTTTTGTACACAATGAACAATTAATAAGCAAAATAAATGTGTTTGCAATAATTATTTGCTTTCTTTCTCTACTCTCAAGAATAGATATTTGTGAAGGAACATGAACATAGTAGAATTTAATTGTTCCACAGCACATTTTCATCAATCAATGAATAATGATCATTAATTTTCCTAAAATATATACCCTCTTACTAATAAAACTTACATGCTCGTTGAACAGTGTTTTAAAGTGACGTTTAGTATGGAAATGTCATTTTAAAACAGTGTTCAACAACTGTATAATTTTTCATTAGTAAGGGGGATAGTCTTTGTGTGAGACCATTCTTTTTCTGTGTAGATATGATCCATTGCTTTAATAAAGGCGGGATGTTGCAATACCTTATACACACTGCCCATCCTTCACAATCCGTATTAACAACACTTCTAAATTATCTATGTTGACGTTAGAACAGGCATAATCTCAACTATCTACTAGTTCAAATTATTTACACTTTACCAATCCGATCAACAAATTGTACAAATGAGTGTCATGTCACATTAAACTAATGCAGTGGTCAACAAGTATTTACAACGGCTGCCCTATGACCGCACTGTAAAACTGTCAATAAAGCTTTTGCTGGTCCCTCCCGCACATTTATATGCTATGATTGCCGTGATGATTAATACGATGTATGAGGGCAATATTGTAATGGCATACAATTCTTTACTGTTCAACAAACTTATTGAGGAAACTAAGAAATGTGAGAGGATCACCCATCCAATTTTCATGTAGTTACTTTCATCGAGGCCACTGAAGAATATGACACTCCAGAATGTGTTGAGGAGGATCATGCAGAGGGTCATGGCTGCACTCGTGACAAAGAAGTACTCGGTGCCTGTTTTAAGGCCTAACGTGCCTGGTCCAACCTGTGAACATGATTTATCAAAATTAATTAAATTCTTTACCTTTAGATATTGCCAGGTTAATCTTTTTCATGGCACCTTCAAGATCCCAAAAATTGCGTCTTTGGTTTTAGGTATGCAAATACAACAATAACAATAGAACTTACTGAGTCTGCAAGGACATTCACTAAGGCGAAAGCTCCACTCATGACTCCAAATCCAAGTCCAGATACATATGCCATCTCCAGCTTATTGCTGCCGATTTCGTGGTTCTCTGAGATCTCTTTCAAACCTGCTTCTGTTTTCCTCAATAAGAGATACATGCCGTAACGGAATGCTTCCTGAAAAAATATAACATGGTATTGGTTTTATAAGCCTTGCAAGATTTGCAAGTAGACTTTTTATGAAATAATAGACTATCAATTTATTAGTGTTTATTAAGGTAGCAATTTATTGTATAATATGATGATGATATAATAAATACAGTAAAAATAAATTATCTTACCTGGAATATGACTGCAAAAACCATTCCAAATGCCAAATATGATCGTAAAGGCACTACAGCATACCATACCAACGACGACAAGAGAAATGATAGGAGCCAACCAAATGCCGCTGCTATCATGATGATGATCCGGACAGGGTCGTTCGCTATTGTCATCGCGAACATCGCCAGTGGAGCTCCGAATGCAAGCAGGGAACAACTAAAAAACTCCGCGAGAGTCATCCTACTTACAATCTACTGTTTCTATGTACAATAACGATATATTACAAAGATTGCAATATGCCGCTGAGCGGCGTTTTATTCGAGTTCAATTAGCGGACGTAAACGACATTTGTGTGTAGCGCTGATGAATTTTAATTTACCAAAAAATTATCGCACGCACAATCAAAAATCAACACCATCACTCAGTATAAGTGACAGATGCTGTCATTTTTTGTGTGGATGTTAATCTGTGGTGCTGTCATAGCATTTCCAATTTCCGCAGAATATATTTCATTCATATTTTTCGCAGAGTCCCCATTCATTCCCAACCAAAGCAAAATAAAATAGAATGCTGATTGATTATCAATAAAATTGTTCCTCAAAATTATTTGCTCCGAAAGAAATAATGAGCTGCGAATGCTTTGTGAGATAATTTTCTGGTAAAAATTCAATATCAGTCTGAACAAAACGCAACCTTTAGGTGATATTTTGACATTTGTTGTTATCAAAATTTTACATAACCTCTAAAATATTTTGTGAGCTTTCTAAAAATACATTTTTCCAGCCAATTTATAATTAAGAGTACTGAAAAAGTATTTAAATCAAATATGCCTCCAAAGCAAGCAAAGAAGACGTTATGGGTGGATTGCGAGCGATGTGGCTGCAGTATAACCTCAAACGACAAAAATGTTCATATTGAGCTGAACTGTGAAAAGAATCAGCTGAAGTGTCCGTACGTGGAGAATGGGAAGCTACACTCGTGGCTAGTGCGGGGCGCCGCACCGCCCGAGGGAGTCCCTAGAGACGCAGTTTTGATTCATCCCTCAGCCGGTACTTTAGTGGGGGCAGTAATAGGAGGGCCACTGGAGCTCAGCAGGGATGGAGCGCCGACCCTCGTCAAACGGATGTGGCCTTCGAAGACGTCAGCGCCGGCAGCCGTCATATTACCTGTAGCTGGTAAGTTGGTTGTTAGTATTTAAAATGCAATAAATCTGAACTACCTATCTGATAATCTAGCTAGAACTTTAATTTAGTTTATTCGACATTCCAATTCAATACCTCATCGCAGTAGTTCTTCAGTGGTAAAAGTAGTCACTAAGCAAGCTAATGTTTTAACTTGGTTTTTCACAGTTTTGGCAATAAAGATTATCCTATTCTTATATTTTGAAAAACTAAAAAAACTATTTTATTTGTGTGCCTAATGAATTTGAAATATTTATTTACAGACTTGACCGGAGCTTGGAATAGTGACAACAAAAAGATTACAGTATCAGTTGTACAAGGAGACATACCAAAAGCATCTTACTTAGCAGTCAAAGTCAAGAACCACAAAATAGACCATGATATTTCTGATATCTTAAAACAGCAGTTTCAAAATGATTTTGTGTGTGTGGGCAGCGTTTTAGTTTACTACTACTTTGGCAAAAAGTTGGAAATACAAGTAGTAAATGTGAAATCAGAGGAACACAATAAAAAGACAAACAAAACATGGTTTGCGTTAAGTGACAAAACTGCATGGAATATGGACAAAGATGTCACACAAAAAGTAAAGAAGAAACCTATTTCTTTAGGTGGAGTTGATGACATATTGGATGAAGTAAAAACTCTCATTAAAATTTCCTTTGACCCTGAATTGGCTGCTACTTTTCAACCCACGAGAGGTTTACTGATTTATGGCCACTCTGGTATAGGAAAAACAGCAATATGCAAGTATTTGATAGAAAATAGTAACTGTAGTTTTACTGAGATCAATGGCCCTGCTGTATTCAGCAAATACTTTGGGGAAACAGAGTCATCAATTAAAACTCTTTTCTCAAAAGCCATTGAAAATGAACCAAGCATTATACTGGTAGATGAGATTGAAACAATCTGCCCTAAAAGATCTTCTGGGAGTACTGAGCAAGAGAGAAGAGTGACTTCTGCATTTGTGTCCCTCTTGGACAGTCTTCATTCAGAAAACAATAGAGTATTCATATTGGCAACCACAAGGAAACCAGATGCAATAGACCCCATGCTAAGAAGGTTTGGGAGATTAGATAAGGAGATAGAAGTGCCTATACCTGATAGAGTAAGAAGAAAACAGATTTTGTACACTCTGCTTGGTAGTCTACCAAACAAAGTGTCTAATCAACAAATAGATTCAATATCAGACTTGGCCCATGGGTATGTTGCTGCAGATTTGGTGAACTTATGTACACAGGCTTCAATGAAATGCATAAAGAGGGGTAGCAATGTGATAGAACATGAAGATTTGATAGCAGCTTTGACAATAGTCAGGCCAAGTGCTATGAGGGAGCTACTGATTGAAGTTCCCAATGTGAGGTGGAGGGACATTGGGGGGCAGGATAACTTGAAGCTGAAGCTACGCCAGGCTGTGGAGTGGCCTTTGAAGCACGCGGAGAGCTTCCGCCGCCTCGGCATTCAGCCACCGAGAGGCATTTTGCTGTACGGCCCGCCAGGATGTTCAAAAACTTTAATAGCAAAAGCATTGGCCACTGAAAGTGGTTTTAACTTTTTGTCTATCAAAGGTCCAGAGCTATTCTCCAAGTGGGTCGGCGAGTCTGAGAAAGCCGTGAGGGACCTATTTACAAAAGCGCGGCAGGTGGCGCCCTCTGTAATCTTCTTCGATGAAATGGACGCAATAGGCGGGGAGAGGAGTTCGGGAGAGGCGGGCGTGCACGAGAGAGTTCTAGCTCAACTGTTGACAGAGTTAGACGGCGTAGTGCCTCTCAATTCTGTGATCATTTTAGCTGCAACTAACCGTCCTGATAAAATCGACAGGGCTCTGCTAAGACCGGGGCGTTTAGATCGACTGATATACGTCCCGTTACCAGATTTTGAGACCAGGCTGCAGATTCTGGAGCTGAAAATGGAGAATATGGGTACCAGTGATGATATTAACCCTCACGAGCTGGCTGTGAGGACTGATGGTTTCTCGGGCGCCGAGTTGGAGTCTCTGTGCCACGAGGCGGCGCTGCGGGCGTTGGAGAAGGACCTCGATTGCCCGGCGGTCACCATGGAACACTTTGAACATGTCTTGCGGGACTATAAACCGAGAACTCCGGCTTCGTTACTGAAAGTATATGAAGAATTTGCTTTAGGACAAAAGTCTGGATAAAGCCATAATTTCCTAAGTAAAAATATTACGTCTTCTACTAACTTATTTTATACATGATGTTTTATATTTTTAAGATCAATAAAAGTGTTATAATCTGTTTCATAATTTATTTTATCAATAATATGAAACCTAATTCTACTAATGTGTATAAATTAATAATTAATCTAGTTCTTATTTGTAATTATTTAAACAAAATTTCGATACCAGCATTTGAATGGTTGTCACATACATGGTCAAGGAACATAATCATACAAAATCATGTCTATATCGACAACACACAACAATCCTACAAACAAGGAAGTCTTTTGGGGTCACATATTAATTTAAAATAGGATTTACCTATCCATATAAATGCAATTCGATAAAGGCAAGCTTAGTAGGTACTTATAAGGCAACTAACCCTGGTTTCTTTTATTACTTAATCTTTATCAGTTACAAGTTAGCAACTAATTTGAAAGAATATTCCTTACATTAAAAACAGGGTGACCCTGGTATTAGATGGAGATTGGACATAATAAGATGCCCTACCAAATCATGTCCGGAAACTAATCAAAATAGCCACTAAAAGTAATGCTGTCTTCTTCTTATCCCCTATTACGAAAAGGACAGCAATACTTTCTACGCGCCACAATAATGTTGCCATATAAGTACCGTTTCATTTGACAGCATCAACCTAAATGTGATCATATACAAAAAATACTGTATATCTATATATATAAAAATGAAACCCGTTTCGCGTTGTCACGGCATCACGTGTGAACGGCTGAACCGATTTCGATAATTCTTTTTTTTAAATGTTTGTGGAAGTCCAAGGATGGTTCTTACGGAAAAAAATATTAAGAAAATCTCTACGCTAAGGCGGTACGAAGTTCGCCGGGTCAGCTAGTTCTTTATAAACATGGAATCTTGCCTCGTTACTATTTGGTATCTCCCTGTATACAGGTCGATGCTGTCAGATGTAGCTAAATCTCTTCACACAATAAGTGTAATAATTGAGACCTATTATACAAAATATACATCCTATTAAAATATACCATACGTCGCTCACAACAGATCTTGCTGGTTCATCTTCGAAGGGACAGAGAAACATGGTCACATAATATGAAAATGATTTTAGTTGTATTAAAATAGTTTCTATGTTCTTACTTCTAATACTGATACTACACGCTATTATTTATGAAGGTGATTTAATACCGAATAGGTCATAGCAGACTTATCAACTCGGAAAGGGATCAACACTGTATGTCCTCTCACGAGCTGTCAACCGCGAGTTTCATATAAAGTAATTATAAAGAATATAATATAATTTTGTTTAAATAATTATAAAGAATACTGACCGCTTCGAGTTGATACGGTTACGATCCCTTTCCGTGTTGACAAGTGTGCTACGTCCTTAATGAATAAGTGCTAAAATAAATTATTGACTAAAAATTAGCCTAGTCGTAAGTCAAAAAGGGCAATGAATAGTTTCTCTGTCCCACTTTTGTCAATTCTTTACTTAGCACGTAGCAGCCGTTAGGGCCTGCTTTATCACACATTATTGCAAATCATTTTCACTTATAAATACATTTTGAGACGACACACAATCCTGGAACTTTTCGCTTCCACTAAGTTCCATCAAACAGCGCATTTTTTCATTCAAAATCCGCACAAATATGTTGATTTAATGAAGTTCACGTAAAAGCAAGTAATTATTATGTATTTTTGATGTGAATTCATTTTTTTTTATCTTTTGTCATTATTATCTACACAGAATCTTTCCATTTATTTTTTTCATTTAAAACGCGCTCACAAACGGCGATATTTGTCGTCTAACAGTACAAGTGTTACCATTACTAGGTGGTAAATAATTTTATCTATAGTTGGACCAACAGCAAAAAAAATGTATGTAAACAATTATTTAAATAGATTTGTAGAAACTTGATAGGTTTCAGAGAGTGAGAGTGAGTGAGAGATGTAAGTAGTTGACGAAGTAATATACGAATAATTTATGAGAAATTCGAAATAGGCGCCTAGAACTTTCTTAACAGATGACAATTTTTTATTCTGAACAGCTTGTAGTTACTAATTTTTGCTGTTGGTGCAAGCGTCGCGTCTTACCAGCGCTATGCATTGGGTATATTGGCTCCAATTTATAGTCTCGAATCCAATACACCAATGATGTGTAGATCGGTTGGACATAATAAGGTCAAGATCTACACGTTGGCGTATAGGATGTAAGGGAGAAGTCACACGGCGCGGTGCGGTCGCGGCGCGGCGCCGGAGCGGTGTCGCTGCGGCGTCCTGCATATAAAAACAATGATATGCCAGACGGTGCGTTCCGGCGCCGCATCGCAGACCCACCGCACTTCGATTGAGCGAGACGGTGCCGTATTGCGGCGCCGCATTCCATATGTGTACAGTGACACGGCAAAATGTTTGGCTTTGTTTGGCACCGTGTGGCTTCTCCCTAAGGCTACAACTTGGAGCCAATATTCTCAACGTGTGCCACATCAAGTGTTATCACTTATCCATTCTACACGCGCAGTATCTCAGTGTGGCGGTTGTAGCATATCGCGATCCAGTCGGGCTGCGTGGCGCCCCACTGTATCTGGTTGACCTCGCCCTCGGCGGCGGTGTAGGCCAGTATGGGGTCTTCGATAGCGCGCGGCATTTGCTGGATGTCCCAGATCAGCGCCTGGTGGTCGTCGCCCGCGGTGCAGATGTGACATGAACTGTGGGAGGGGTTGCCGTTTTAGTAAATGATTTGTGTTACCAAATTACAGCTTTTTTAAATTGCTAAAGAAAATAACGATCTCCAACCCGCCTGCCAAGCGTGGGGATAATGGCAAAACCTATACTATAACTATAGTATAGTGGAGGAGGCTCATAGTCCAGTAGGCCTAAGATGCGCGCCGTGATAACTTTTATCGACGTCAAAATATATGGGCAAAATCGATAAAACGGCGTGATAACTGCTTATCGCGGCGCGCATCTTAGGCCTACTACAGTGGACTGTAAAGGGCTGTTGATGATGATGATGATGAAATTGGAAAAATAGTGAAGCTAGCTTAGCGATCTTTAAACTGTGGGACTCACCTGCCGAGCCAGAATGTGCGCCACCATAAAATCTTATCGACACATATCGGTTTTTGATGATATGCTCATATATTTGACGACTTAAATCGTCGATAAATTTTATCGTGACGCGCATCCTAGTTCGGCTGGTGTACAGACCATTAATCACGATAGTATAGTAACCTGTTACAAACCAGTGACTACTACCTTTTGACTAAAGCCCGGTCTGCGAGCACATATAATTTTTTCCAAATTGTGACAAAATTCTACGTGCTCGCAGACCAGACTATAGTCTGTGGGGGCCTCCCGGATTCATTACCGCGTGACAAGCGACCATGCGTTTGGGCGCCCTAACATCATTGGTCTCGCTAGTCAAGCGACTCTATCGTACCTGAGGGGCGCCCTGACTTCATAATCAGGGACGTCCTGACTTCATTATAAGGGGCGCTCTGACTTATTATTAAGAGCGCCCTGTCTTCAATATCAGGGGCGCCCTGAATTCATAATGAGGGCTATCGTTTTAGCGCTCACCAGTTAGCGCCACTGTAGAGTAAGGTCCTGTCACTTGCTAGTAGCGAAGACAGTGACACCAACTGGTGAGCGCTAAAGTGGTAGGAGGACTATCGCATTTGCACTCATCAAGATGCCGCCACTGTAGAGTAAGGTCCTGTCAATCGCCAGGGGTGCCAACTGTTAAGTATAAAAACGATAGCCCTCATTACGCGCGAGCGATAAGGATGGGTAGTTTGGGGTCATTGGACAAAATTCTACGTGCTCGCAGACCAGACTATAGTAGAGGTTTCGCTAGAATAAAGCGTCTCACCGTACCTTAGGGGCGTCCTGGCTTCTTACGACTGGCTTCTAAGTTGAGGATTTATCACCTGCGTCCCAGAACTTGAGCAAACTCGCTTACCTATAAACCAGTGGTTCCCAAACTTATTTAGTCTACTGCCCACTTTGAGAATAAATTATTTTTTAGCGCCCCCCATTTTTGTAGTCAAGAGTCGAGCTCAGTCGATGTCTAAGAGTCCTCCTAGTAGATGACGCCTCCCAAGCCTCTACAGAACGTCCCGATTTTTTTCTGGGTCTCTTACCGCCTCCCTTTAAGCCAGCAGCGCCCACAAGGGGGCGTTATCGCCCACTTTGGGAAAGACTGCTATAAACTATCGATTACACTGTCCTACCTGTGGGGCGCCCAGGCGATGCCGTTGACGCAGGCGCGGTGGTTGTTGAGGCGCGCGACGGGCGTGCAGGGCACGCGCACGTCCAGTATGATGACTTCGCACGCGTCCATCGCGACGGTGGCCAGGTAGTTCGGGTCCTGCTTGTTCCACGCCAGACGGAGCAGCGGCGTGTGCTGCGGGTCCTGTAGCAGATTTGTTTATTAGGAAAACCAGGGTTTTACAGTTTATAATTTTTTGTCGGCCGTTTGGTGTAGTGGTTCAGAACGGACTACTATGCCGAGAGGTCCCGGGTTCGATTCCCGGCCGGGCAGAAATTGAAATGATGAATTTTAATTTCTGTGACGGGTCTGGGTGTTTTCTATGTATAATATGTATGTATTTACAAAAAAAAAGTATTTAAGTATGTTTATCCCGTCGTCTAGTACCCATAGTACAAGCTTTGCTTAGTTTGGGACTAGAGGCGCAGTGTAAAATGTCCAAGGATATTTATTATTATTTATTTATTATTATAATAAAAAGTAAAAACAAGTTAGGGAATAGGTAAAACACTTTTAGGTTCTCACGGTAGAAAATATTGGATCCTTGTTAATTAGGTTACACCTGTTGTGTTTGATGAAAGAGACCTATAACTAGCAATGGACTGTTAGAAGCTGATGATTAATAAAATGAGAACATAACGTGGTATAACTGTGTATGTATACCAAAGCTATCTTTAATCTACTACTTAGAGCAGGATCGCGAGTATTCATGAGGTTCCAGCAAATTAAAACAAAGAAGCTAAAAACACATCAGAAATGTGCAAAATGAAACAGTAGCTGCAAGGAATTCAAAGATTTAAGGCTGGTTTTAGTGTCACGCGGACCGTCCGGTGCGGACCCGCTCCGCACGGCCAATCTGTATGAACTTCTAGGGAGCGTTTTAGAGTAATGCGGTCCGGAGGAACCGCTCCGCTCCCTAGCAGTTCATACAGATCGGCTGTGCGGAGCGATCCGCACTGACAGTCCGCGTGACACTAAAACCAGCCTAAGTTCTGCTACCCCGTCGATTTCGGGGCCCAGGGAACTTCTTTGGCGACCTATAGAAAACCTGGAGGGGCTTATACGTACGTACCTCGTAGATGATGGTGGAGTGCTCGAGGTGGCGCAGGTCGAACATGCGCACGGAGCCGTCCGCGCCCACCGACGCGAACATGTCGCGCCCGCCGCCCGCGCGGCTGAACGCGATGTCGTACACCTCCTACGGTAACATTCTAGTCACAACTTGTTGTCAATAGATGGCGCTAGGTGTACATGAAGCGAACATGTCGCGCCCGCCGCCCGCGCGGCTGAACGCGATGTCGTACACCTCCTACGGTAACATTCTAGTCACAACTTGTTGTCAATAGATGGCGCTAGGTGTACATGAAGCGAACATGTCGCGCCCGCCGCCCGCGCGGCTGAACGCGATGTCGTACACCTCCTGATATCATCAGTGAGTATGTATAATTTATACACTCAACATCAAATAAAACGCACCTCCCGCAACAAGCACTTTCAAACGTATGCATCCGCACTTCCTATTTATTGGGCTTTCAAATAACACCAATATTGTTGGGACACCATGATTGTGTCAGAAGAAAATCTTTAAAGTTCGCGTCACGGAAGGTGCGGTATATTTGATGTTAAGTGTAGTAACATTAATAAGGTATACGATAGTTCAGCATTTGGAGCGCTAGTGCTGCAATGGCGTCAACTGGAAACCCTCATCGATGGCGCTACATGTACATCAGGCGAATATGTCGCGCCCGCCACTCCGCGGCTGAACGCGATGTCGTACATCTGTTCTGCAGGCACCAGCCGATATAATACAAGACGGATACGGAATTATACAGGACGAATAGCGATTTTTTATGACATGCTCAGTTCCAATTACCCTGTATAGAACGGAACAAAAAAAAAGGCGTACGGCCACCAGTGGGTGGGGTATACAATAGTATAGAACTTAACACGCCAGGGGCGCCAACTGGAAACCCCCATTGGACGTTCCCTTCGTGTAAATAGTCAATAGATAGCGCTAGGTGTACATGAAGCGAACATGTCGCGCCCGCCGCCCGCGTGGCTGAACGCGATGTCGTACACCTCCTGATATCATCAGTGAGACGTTAATAAGGTAGGAAGAATTGTACGCTTCAAGTTGAAAAAGAAGAAGCCTTCAACTGTTTTTAAAGGAAGAAGGACGAACACACTTATAAACGGGACTATTCCCACCTCTCGTCCCCACAGCTGCAACTCCTGTGTAGCCAGGATCTACAGCTTGACCGCCATAAAAATCCAACCAAGGTCAAGTTTGTCCGAGGGGGAAAATTAAACTGTCATTGGAACACACTTATAAACCCGGAAACGGATCGTAACCGTATCAACTCAAGGCGGTCATTCTTTGTATGAAACTTCGTACTGGAACACACACTTAACACTGCAGTACACGCGCCTCTTTTTTTACACCAATACACGCGCGGCCTACTCTGGTAAGCCAATTTAAAATCACTGTAAATCAGTTTGTAAACAATTTATGAATAAAATTACTATGTAAATGATAAAAGTGTTTATTATAGTTCTTTTATAATCTAAGTTTCTTTGTATAACTATTTGGGATAAAACATTATAAACAGATTAAAAAATTGTAAATTTTATGGACCAAAATTGCACTCTTAGATCCATGCTAGCAAAAAAAAAATATTGAAAAAATATGATTTGTTTTTTATCTGTCATAGTATTCAAGACTTTCTACTGCCTGGTACATGGGGTAAATCCATTTTTTGCTAGTCTTCCATAATTTTTTTCGTGAGTGATTTCGGGCTTTTGTGTAGATCCGCAGTTTTGACGGCCAATTTTAGAAAAGTGCGTAGACGCCTAGCGACCCAAGCTTTACTGGCTTATTGACAATTTAGTAAACGAGGCTTTCCTGGAATGCCAGCTCTCTGGCGCAAGTTCTTAAAAAGTTATAGCGTAAAATGCTACCCTGGTCTACTCTAGTAGGCCACGCGTGTACTCTAGTGTTAACCGCACCTTAACGTAAACACCTCGCGGTTGACAGTGCGGCGAAAAGCAATACGGGATTGATCCCTTTCTGGGTTGATAAGTGTACTATGTCCTTTAAGTTACAACTTGCTGTCAGTAGATTGTTTGGGTGTACACATAGCGCAATTATTTAAACACGTGCTGTGTGCGTGCTACCATGCTACGCCGCCACTGGGCCCCCCTTAAAATCCTTAAATGCCCAGGGCCCCTAGTAGGTTAAAGACGGCCCTGATAACGGATAACCCTTTCCTTAATGGGGCTTACCAGTTGGCGCAACTGGTGACAAGCACAGTATTTGGGCGTTTTTATATACTACCAAATAAAAATTTGCTATATTTGGCAGTGGAAACAAGAACTCATACATAAATCAGGAATGAAATATGAGTGAATAAACTGTAGTTAACTGACGTTATGACATTATATCGTCAACAAACAAACTGTTGTTAGTAAACAATAATAATAACAAAGAGGTGAATGAATTGGCGATGACGAAATAAAAATAATTAATTAAAACGCGATTAGAAGACATACTTATTTTCTAAAAGTATTTTTATCAATAAAAAATATCAACAGAAGCAAAACTTATTATTATGTGTAATTTATTAAGCATTACGAAGACCAATACACAATAAATGCTTTAATTAATAAATGAGTCGTCCATTGCTATGCAATAATTAATTGGTTTCGTATACTATTAATTAGTAGATGAACATCGAAATACTCAATTAAAATTCTTCTTTGGTCAATCATCTTTCAAAGACAGAAACATTCGAAAAATATTTCCATTGTAGTGTTGATATTTACTTGAAATAAACTTTGCTCACTGACTTTGGTGAATTAATTTGACCTTCACTGGTTGAGTTTTATTTGGCAGTCAACCTGTAGATCCCGGCTACACAGGAGTTGCAGCGGTGGAAACGACAGTTGGGAATAGTCCCGATTTGGTAAACTAAGATGAAATTGGTTTTAAGAAAATATTACATTTAATAGAGGCTGTTTTAGATTATTATAGCTGACAAATCAAATAAAATAATATATCTATTATATGTCCAAAATACATGGATTATATCGTAAAATGTAAAATAGAGGTCCAAGTACATTAATTTGCTTGTAATGAGGGCTATCGTATCGCTCACCAGTTAGTGCCACTGTAGAGTAAGGTCCTGTCACTTGCTAGCAGCGAAGACAGTGGCACCAACTGGTGAGCGCTAAAGTGGTAGGAACACTATCGCATTTGCACTCATCAAGATGGCGCCACTGTAGAGTAAGGTCCTGTCAATCGCCAGGGGTGCCAACTGTTAAGTATAAAAACGATAGCCCTCATTGTCATAAATCAAGCTCTTACCAACCCACCTATCATTAGATTACCTTGTCATGTGCGATGAGCTGCGTCTTAACATGTCCGGAGACCTCGTTGACTCGTCCCAACACCTGTCCCGTCTCCAGCCCCCAGATAGTGCAAGTGGTGTCGATGGAGCTGGTGCCGATGAGGTTGGGGTCCACCTCGTTCCAGTCAAACGAAGTGAGCGGTGCGCAGAAGTCAGAATTCTTGTTGTTGTTTAGAACGCACTCGAAAAGGGTGTACGGTTCTCCAGCGCGCCATATGCGGAGGTAGTCGCCTGTGGATGGATGGAGGCAGAATTGAGATGGAAAGTAGTAAAACAGGCTACAATTTCTGAAGAATGGTTTAAAAAACCTTGACCACATGCTTCTGTTCATGCTACTTCGTCTATATCGTATATTATTATTTTCTACTACGTCTGTATTTACACTTAAAATTTATACGCACACTATTATTATTATTTATTTATGTATATTTTATGCAGTATAGGTCAGTGTCCGTGACTCTCACTCGGCATGGGGCACACTGAAAACCAGCGTCGTGGCTTCCCTCACCGGGGGCCACGGCATATGCTGAGTGGGGTCCCATTGCGATGGGCATCGCTGTGCGACAGGGTGGCACTGCTTAGTTTACTTGCTCATTCATTGTATGTTTTATGTCACCTCTGTCTTATTTGCTTTTTTTTTTATTTTACCTCTTTTGTCTTTTGTGATGTCCATAGCAATAAATGTTTCTTTCTTTCTTTCTTCTGCTCAATAATGCAGGTAAAAGGGCATTGTTGTGTGATTTACTAACATAGTTTCTAAGACCTTTGTTACTAACACTTTTATGGGATATGCCTGAATTAAATACCTTTTATTTATTTATTGCTTGTAAGGAAGATGGTCTTTCATGAACATGACACTTTAGTGTACAGTTGAACCCCCTTACTAATAAAAAGTTACACAGTTGTTGAACATTGTTTTAAAATGACATTTCCATACTAAACGTCTCTTTAAAACACTGTTCAACGAGCGTGTAAGTTTTATTAGTAAGGGGGTTAGAGTATTAAAAACAAATAGACTATCATTAATTTACAGTTAGTAATAAAATCACACTTATTACAATTCAATTGCCATTGTTTCTACTTTAAAACTTCTGAACTTGACCTTTATTTCTGAGCTTGGTATAAAACTACCACTACACAATGAAAGCATTGTCTTTATTGTGTTATTTTGATTGGCGTTGATCAATTTGAATAGTAAGCAAATTTGCACAGTATTTTTGTATACTTTAATGCAATCATCAAAAATGAAAGATATTGATGGACACTTACCGCTGGTAGCTAGTAGATCTGGGTACACCCCTTTACTGTCCGGAATCCACATGATCTTCGTGGTGGGGTAGGGGTGGTCAAATGTGCTTTTGGCACTGAATTCACTTGTCTCTTCATCCAGTGATATTATTTGTACCTAATTAAACAATTCAATATGTAACTTTCTTAACATCATAAAAGTAAATAATTTTCTGCAAATCACCGTCATAAAAGTAATTTTCTGCAAATTGACTTTAAAAAGTGCTTTTAAACATCCCTTCGGGAAAATAAATGGGCCAGCAATAATTGCTTAAGGCTTAATCAGTATTTCAGTAATATGTTACCTTATTGTTATATTCTTCTACAAAGCTGCCAAGGGCCAGTCTGAATCGTTTGTCAGGACGCACGGACCAGTTCATCGAATACAACGGCCATGGTGCTTGATATCTGGAAGTGAAGGAAATAAACATTGCATTTATTAGGTACCATAACTTAAAAAAAATACCACAAAATGTATGAAAGTTGTGGTATTTAATATTGAGAATTTAAGAAATAACGAAAGAAGTACAGAGCCCCGATTACGGTAACTTTTAACGTCTACAATCCAGACGCGTTTCTGATTCTGCGATACGATTGGTCAAAACAGCTGACGTACGCTGTTGAACGACCAATCGTATCGCAGAATCGAGAAGCGTGTCTGGATTGTTGACGTTAAAAATTACCGTAATCGGGGCTCTGGATAAGAATGCTTACTTGTATATTTCTTTGCGTTTCGTGCTCGAACTCGTCGTACTAGAGCTGCTATGTGGCATAGACATCGTTACAAAACTATGATCCTGAAAATTCATTTTTTCTCAACTTCTTGTTAAATTAACACAAACTAATGTATATGCACTAAATTACTGGTGATATTACCCGGGCTAACACATCACAACAACAATAAATAGTTACTAAAATGAGGCTAAGAAGACGAAAATAACACGAGCCAAAGCAACCAACACAAAACGGTTACTTACTAGCACAAGTCCCAAAATCACACTTTTATCTGATTACTTTAGTGACCGACATGAATATTGTCGCAGTTTTCGTCAGTTTTACGAAGCCTTTTCAATTTATTAATAGAATAAATCGCATGTTTTCATCAAACAAGCATTTCAGCAACATTGACGTGTTTAATGACATTTAATTTTAATGTTGCCACTTTAAGCCAAACACCACAAAATGCTTCCAAAAACACCATACATAAATTCTGAGCTTTTTGGAAAAAAAATAATTGTGTAAGGTTCGAGCGACAGAGTGACAATAGTGTCTTATCATATAAATTTATGAGTGTCAATTTTGAGATATTTCGTAAAATTGAAATACCTAACTCTACTTCATTACAAATTAAATTTATTTTACACAAGGGAGAATAATTTGAAAAAGGGAAAAATGACACTATATTATGGCAATTAGTAGAAACAAAACTTGTCAAAAGAATTTAAGATTATACAGCATTGATTTTTAGTTTTACACATAAAATACATTTTGTAAAATTTAATAAATTGAAAATAAAAGTCTGAATAAATTATGGTTTTATTATTTAATAGAAATAAATTTCATTTGGTTTACTTTGATAATGTTATACGATAAAATAAATATTTTTCTCGAGATTACAAATAAGTTCTACGTGAACTCGATAGATGGCAGTAAAAGTAAAAGCATTGTGGTGTCAGCGTTGCGTCGGTGGTTGTAGGTTCTGGATTTGTTTCCCAGGTTCGGTTCAGACGTTCAACTAATGTGATACATATTTTGATTATGAATGATGAATCTTTATGGGTACAATATAATACCTAACTAATATCGTTCTCGTTTCATTGTGCATTTATGGCAGCAGTCTTGCTCTAAAATAGAATGCTTCCGGAATTACCAAGTAGTTTACGAGCTTCTACTTACTCCATAAAAAAATATATTTTCCGGAGTACTTAAGAAACAGGGTTTATACACAAAATATAACAGAAGGTAAACTCATGTATGTACCTCGCTTTGCATACCTCTCTCGCTCGCACGCTCGGCCGTCGCGCCAGGGTTGTCTTGTCATGTGTTGTGTTTATTTCGTTATGATAGAAAAATGTTACTCTTAATACTACGCAAGAAAGACAATAACAGATATCCACGTATACTTATTTATATTTAGTACGTTATTATAGTAATAGTTTGCAAACAAATACACGAGAAGGAAGTAGTATTTAGTTGAGTGGTTGACACTATTATCCAACTAATATTAGGTATAAATGCGAAAGTTTGGATGTCTGGATGTTTGTTGCTCTTTCACGCAAAAACTACTGAACTGTTTATAACCCTGAATAACATATAAGCTATAATTTATGACGATCTGTGACAAACTAAATTTCACGCGGGTGAAGCCGCGGGCAAAAGCTAGTTATCCAATAATTCCTAAAACCTCTCTAAAACAATTCGATATTCCTAATAATTACTGGTGTGATTTAAATGAATTTGGTATCAATTTAAAGATAAAAGTTTAATCTTTAAAATGGTGCCACTTTTTTTGTTCCTAACAAATTCGTTAGTACACAAGTTCGCGTGGAAACAACTTCATGTAAGTGATTCCATAGTTTTGCTCGCGAGTGTAGATAAGTTTTTCCTTAGTACCTAGTCGAGTAGGTATCTTGCCATCGTAAACAAATACAGATAAAATTAAAGATGGCAATGTCCTTTTATGATAAGTAATTTAGATCTAAATTGATATCTACATATATGATATATGATGAAACAGTGATGTCTTGTAGGCTGCTAAGGCCTGCCCACACAAATGTACACTCGCGAGCAAAAGTATGGAATCACTTACATGAAGTTGTTTCCACGCGAACTTGTGTACTAACGAATTTGTTAGGAACAAAAAAAGTGGCACCATTTTAAAGATTAAACTTTTATCTTTAATTTGATACCAAATTCATTTAAATCACACCAGTATTTAAAAAGATATCCCGGCTGATGTGAAGAAGTAACGAAAAAGACATGTATGAACTGTTTGATACGTCGCGAGTTGCGGCCTATTTACCCCCTATAAAAGCACGCGTTTTCGGATTTTTGCTTTCACACGTTAATTCATACACATCTCCGCTTCTTTTGACACTTAACCTGGGATTCTACACCTTCAGAAGCAGCACAAATCGTTGCACTATTGCAAAAAGGGCTCAGCCAGCGGGCTGTCGCATGTCAGCGCCACATAAGCCAGTCCTGGGTTTCGAAAGTTTTAAGACGCTTTCGGGAGACTGGTGGCTTTATCCCGAGACCAAGTTCTGAACAGCGCCGGCGCACATCGTAGACGGAAGACCGTNTCGCGTTCGCGCCACGTCATTTCAGCAAGCAAATGTATTCCTATGTCCAGATACTTTCGCTGTTACAAGTTTTTCAATATCTTGCAAAAACATTGCCGCTTATTTTTAGCTCATTGGCAATTAAAAAGCTTTAAGTTCCAATACTAAGTACTGTTTTAACACTAATTATTATTGCATTTATACACTTGCGAGTAAAAATATGGAGTCACCCTATTTGTTCCGAACAATCAAAATGACCATTTTAAAGGGTAATATTTAAAATGGATAAGTACCCTAAGTAGATTGGACAATAAGTAGGTATTCAGTTCTAAGATGGCTTTGACTCTAAACAAAACACAGGGTGATGATTCCATACTTTGCTCGTAAGCTAATAAAGATAACTACACTCGCGAGCAAAAGTATGGAATCACTTACATGAAGTTGTTTCCACGCGAACTTGTGTACTAACGAATTTGTTAGGAACAAAAAAAGTGGCACCATTTTAAAGATTAAACTTTTATCTTTAAATTGATACCAAATTCATTTAAATCACACCAGTAAAAAGATATCCCGGCTGATGTGAAGAAGTAACGAAAAAGACATGTATGAACTGTTTGATACGTCGCGAGTTGCGGCCTATTTACCCCCTATAAAAGCACGCGTTTTCGGATTTTTGCTTTCACACGTTGATTCATACACATCTCCGCTTCTTTTGACACTTTACCTGGGATTCTACACCTTCAGAAGCAGCACAAATCGTTGCACTATTGCAAGAAGGGCTCAGCCAGCGGGCTGTCGCACGTCAGCGCCACATAAGCCAGTCCTGGGTTTCGAAAGTTTCAAGACGCTTTCGGGAGACTAGTGGCTTTATCCCGAGACCAAGTTCTGAACAGCGCCGGCGCACATCGCAGAGGGAAGACCGTTTTTTCATGTCAACCTCTCTATGAAATCGTCATTTGACTGGAATCGACGTCCAGTAAGAGCTCAGAAATGTTCGTAGGATAGCTGTTAGCGAGTAGACAGTTTGTCTAAGACATAAGCAATAGAATTTAACTCCAAAAAGGCCTGCCACAGGCTCGAAACTGACGGCAGGTCACCGATAAGCACGCTTTCAATTTGCTCGTACACATCTCGATGTTAAGTCGAGCAAGCCACCCCCATAAGCCACTGTTTCAGCGAACCAGCACTGCACAAATCGCTCCTCAGGCCGCCTATAAACCCGACCTCTTCGACTGCTGCCCTGCAAACACAGTTTGCATTCATCGGAGAACAGAACTCGCCTCCATTACTCGCCTTCCCATCGAGATGTGTACGAGCAAATTGAAAGGGTGCTTATCGGTGACCTGCCGTCAGTTTCGAGCCTGTGGCAGGCCTTTTTGGAGTCAAATTCTATTGCTTATATCTTAGACGAACTGTCCACTCGCTAACAGCTATCTTACGAACATTTCTGAGCTCTTGATGGACATCGATTCCAGTCAAATGACGATTTCATAGAGAGGTTGACATGAAAAAACGGTCTTCCCTCTGCGATGTGCACCGGCGCTGTTCAGAACTTGGTCTCGGGATAAAGCCACTAGTCTCCCGAAAGCGTCTTGAAACTTTCGAAACCCAGGACTGGCTTAAGTGGCGCTGACGTGCGACAGCCCGCTGGCCGAGCCTTTCTTGCAATAGTGCAACGATTTGTGCTGCTTCTGAAGGTGTAGAATCCCAGATAAAGTGTCAAAAGAAGCGGAGATGTGAATCAACGTGTGAAAGCAAAAATCTAAAAACGCGTGCTTTTATAGGGGCTAAATAGGCCGCAACTCGCGACGTATCAAACAGTTCATACATGTCTTTTTCGTTACTTCTTCACATCAGCCGGGATATCTTTTTAAATACTGGTGTGATTTAAATGAATTTGGTATCAATTTAAAGATAAAAGTTTAATCTTTAAAATGGTGCCACTTTTTTTGTTACTAACAAATTCGTTAGTACACAAGTTCGCGTGGAAACAACTTCATGTAAGTGATTCCATATTTTTGCTCGCGAGTGTAGCTACATTATATTAGAATTCCAATGTTTTGTCATAATTTACTAGGTAACTTATTAATTATTATTAATTAGTAACACAGCTAAGTTTATTTTTCAAGTCATAATCAGGTTTGAGAATTAATTAACAAGTCAAACTTTCCTAAACTCTAAAGAACGCCAAGTCAAGGGCATATCACTATCTGCCAAAACCCAAAGCCAATGCCTAATGAAGACTATTGGCGTGAAATCGCTATTAATCGAATTGAAACTAGTTTTATAGTTTATCTACATTAACCTTAGCGAACAAAGCGCGCAGCAGCCGTTGTCAAAACATGACGAATTGCGCGCGCGCACAAAAGAACTTATTAATATCTGTACACGCCTTGACCTATGGTCAAAGGAGCTTGATATTATCCGCTTCAAAACATACTAAGCATTACGATTCCGTTTCGATTGACTTGCGATTAATAAGACAATTGCGTAAAATGTTTCAGCGTTGACAAACATAGCTATCTGATGTTGACTAATCTTGTAGTAAGGTACTTGATACAAATAAGGCCTACGTTCTAATAAGGCCTATACATCAGAAAACACAGATAAACAAATCCAACCGGGATAATACTTCAAGGACACGTACTCATATGCCCTACAACCCGGTAGAGTGCAAGAGCTTCCCGATCCACGATCCCAGCACCAATTGGCACGCGTTCTTCTAAGGTGGTGGATGATTTCGTGCTCTCTTATAAAAATCTGGCGATTTCATCTTAAATTTTCGGTAAAATAACGCTGTTTTAGATTAAGCTTTTCTTAGTAATCGTTTCTAAATATTTCTTACTAGCTAATAATTACCTTAATTTGTACTACTGGCTATAGATGCATTATTTGTAAATTTTTAAAGACAACAAGAGCGAAATATCTAATAAGGCCTAGGC